GCATTATTTTTAATTTGCATTCACAGTGTGCTCTGTAATAACTCCCTCTGAATTCTAGCAATGGATGCTGTGAATTTGTATTAACAGCAGTGCTGTTTTGTGCAACTGTAGTGAAATTCTCTGCAAAAGAATATTAACACATCATGTCTTTTAGATCGGAGTTTCCAAATAACAACAGAGAATTGTCTTAGCAAATTGTTCCTGGGCTAATTGTAATGGAAGGATTTCAGCTTGGAGGGAAATCATTGACACAAGTGAATGTTGATGCCAAAAGTTTACATGGTTTCAAAAAGCAATTAGACACAATTATGGAAGAAAAATCCATGAAAGGCAAATAAACACACAGCTAGCTCTGATTCAGAAATTCCCAAGCCATTGATTGCTGGAAGCTGAGAAAGAGTCCTAGGGATGGATCACTGCACAGTTCTTCCCTAGGACTCTGCTACTGGGTACTGCCCAAAGAACATGCTGTTCTAGTCTGACCCAAAATGGCCTTTATCATGGTGTCATATTAAGATGTCTCAAGGCTAAGAGCCTTTAGGAAGAAAGGAGAATGGTGAAAAAAAATAATCTCCCTTCAGGTTAACAACTTGAAAGTTTTGGGGTTTCTGCATTAAAATCCTGCTTTCTATCTAATTGTAATTCGGATCCTCTTGTCCCCAGAAGCTTCCTTTGGAAAAGCATACATACCAGACTGCACCACTGTCACAGGCACATCAGTGCCTGCACTGCTGTCAGTTGAGTGAAGCCTTGCACAGCGGCTGGCAGTAGAGCACTCATTTTCAGTAGTTACTGGCCTAGACTTTGCTTGTGCTATAAGATGCATTTTTGGCAATGAGTGTTTATCTGCCATGGGGCTGGATCACGATTGCTAAAGAGGAGAAGCTGGTTTCTCAGTCAAACTGAATAGAGAAATCTGGTGAAGCACACACAATACATTACTCTGACAAATAAAAAACCATAGTTTACAACAGTGAAAAATTTGTTAATTTTGTGCAGAAGAGGCAAGTCCTACTGTTAGTTAGAGCATGGTGCTATTAACACCAAGGTCATGGGTTTGATCCCCTCATGGGCCATTCACTTAAGAGCTGGACTCGATGATCCTTGTGGTTCCCTTCTAATGCAGAATATTCTGTGTTTCTGTAAGTATGACATCTTAGGAGACTCTGAGAAACTTGAAGATTTGTCCACATGCCCTGATTTTTTTTTCACCCTGACCTTCTCTGGAGGGTGAACAGTGCCTGACTGGATGAGTCATCACTGGCAGACTTGACAAACATCTCAAACCCGGGGTACAAATAGCTGCTTTTAAATACCTAATACTTCAGCTACTTTTATGTAGATCTTAACAGACTGTTTGCTAGCTGAATTTAGTTATTAAATTATTATTTTAATAAAGCCTAATTTGTAAGTTATTGGGCCACAAAATCCTGTCCTTGAAAAATAGTGAAAAACATTAGGGCAAGAAAAAAAGCTAGCAGCAACAGCCACACAAGGTAGTTATTGAGTTTGGACTTGACTTTTTGTTTTTGTTTTAATGGGATACAGGAATGCACTGCTTTTTTCCATTTTTCTTTTGTGAAATGACCGGGACAATTTGATGTCCTGGAGTTGGGCAGACGGCACCTCAGTTTTTGCTGCTTATCATTATGTAGAACCATGTTGCCCAAAACTGTGGGTGGAAATAAATGAAGAAGTTGTGAAACGCAATGAACCAATGACTTTCTCCCAGTTTGAAACACATATGTTTCGGTTTTGTGAGTTTGTTGGAAATTTTTTTGCTAAAAGCGCTCACATTAGTGACTACACTAAAAATACCAAAATAGTCGTCTCACACCAACACCTCGCTCTGGGGTCTCTCATGCTTTGGCACAACGTGGGACTCCAGCTTCACTGAATATCTTTAGTTTCTTTCTCTTCCTAATTGTAACAGTCATCTCTCCTCCTATTTGCAATAACTAACATCCCTATGACAGCCATTGCTTAGATGAGAAGGCAGCACTAGGAAAGCATTTAATGAACATTAATTGCTTCTTAATATGATTTAGCTGCTGGAAATAAGAAGGCTAAACTAGCTCCATGTGACTGGCAGCCCTACAGGCACCTCCACCAGACTCCTTTCGAGATGCAATCCTGCCAACCTGGGGGGGCAGCAAGCTATTCATGGATGATACCCAAAGCTGCATTTTGCTTTTCCAAATTAGCAGTTAAGCAGGGCTGTAGGAACTCAGCAACAAAGTCATGATGATACCACCTGGCTGATTAGTGATCTCTTCCTTCTGTGCAAGCCAGCAATTATCAATTCCCGCTGACTTCAGAAGCTAATGGAAATCAGAGGATGGGGGATGCTAAGATGCAGCAGCTTCTAGCCATGAGGAGGAGGACAAGATGGGACACAGACTCTGTGCACACTGTTATGTCTGTCTTTTCCTGTGTGGCATCTTTGGCACTTGTGCCTTGATCATTTTGACCCTCAATATTACATTACCTGACACCATCGTTTCTGACAGGACAACACCGTGTAAGAGAAACTTGGTCTTTTGAATCCTGCATTCCTAAATTTGAATCCTGATTTACCACGGATTCTCATCTCTCCCTTTAGCAGGGTCACTTAGCCTCTCTACTAAGCTGCTCTGCCAGGAAATTAAGGCTGATAAAACTTAAAGATACTGTGACGATCAATCAATACATGTTTGTAAAGTTGTTGGTAAACAACAAGCACCAAGTGCCAAGTCTAATTTAAACAGATATGATTTATAATCTTCCCATTTTCTTTGCAAGAACTTTAAATGACACAAAGATTAACCTTCTGATCTTGGAAAAAAAAACCTTTACGGGTATTATAGACTAGTGTTGGCAGCAGACTTCTAACTTGAAATACGATGTCCTCACTGACATCACTAAATAACTCATGGATTAGCTGACAGTGATACTTCAGGACTCATGGGAAAACTGTATTGCAGAGGGAAATAACAGTGACGGAAAAAAAAAAATTGTTTTCGGGACTGTAATTCTTAATCTTCTTTCATTCAGAGCTAAAACTGAATACAACTAGACTGTCTAAAATGAAAGATTTATTGTTTTACACAGAGTATTAAATGGATATTATGAAATAGTTGATGCTATCCACTAACATAAGCAGGAGCCATCAAGTTTTACAGATGTAATGGTGGGACTAAAATTTCTAGTATCTGCTGATCAGTGAACATACAGGTACGTTGAAAAGCTTGACTGTTGGCCCTACATGGTCATATACAATGCCACCTGGTTTTATAGGATAAGCCTGAAGCAAGCTTTTGGGAAGTGGTGATGAACATCTTCATGTCCAAGACATTTATGATTCACAACAACCACAAACTTCTTCAGGAGTTCAGAAGTCTTTACAATGGCTTTGTTTCTCTATTACAACTAAGCACCTCAAAGCCAAGAAGACAACTGAGCTGTGCTCTCAGGGGGACTGTGCACTGAGCCATCCAGATGCCTGCTACCCTGGGACACCAGCCAAAGGCTTCTAGCTGCCTCCCATCAGCACCCACAGCACTGCTCACCAGCAAGCTAATGAATGCCCCCCAAAAAATCATCAGATGTTTCCCTGATGCATTGTAGGCATGCTCCTTCTGTCATATCTAACCACTCACGATACCAAGTCCGTGTTACTTTATTATTAATACAGCTGCAGCAGTGCTCTTGAGGCTTTCCAGCCATTGGTTGAGAACAGAAGAGCAGCAGCTCCAAGGCTTAAGGGAATGCTCACAGATACAGAAAACAGGAAGGATAGGGAAGAATCTGTGAAATCAAAGTGTCAGTTGGCTCATGACTGAAAGGCTGCTGTAAGTCATAGCATCTCTACTACCCACTCTTTTAATAAAGGGAGCCTAATTAATGGCACCTTGTCACCTTACTGGGTTTCTCATACCAAAGGCTGGCTCTGAAAGCAACATTGATTGCACCATGAGGTAGAGATACAAGCTTACTACAGAAACATTTCTTTATCAAAACCTCTACAAATCATAGACTAGTACAACGTTTTAGGTTGGAAAGGACCTTAGAGATCATCTAGTTCCAAATCCCTTGCATAGGCAGAACACCTTCCTCTAGACTAGGTTGGTCACAGACCCATCCAATCTGGACTTGAACACTTCTGGGAATGGGGAATCCACAGCTTCTCTGGGCAACCTGTTCCAGTGCTTCACCACCCTCATAGTAATGAATGTCTTCCTAATATCCAATCTAACCCTGCCCCTTTTTGTTTAAAGTCGTTCCCCTTTGTCCTATCACTACAGGCCCTTGCGAAGAAATCCCTCTCCAGCTTTCCTGTAGGCCCCCTTCAGATACCAGGAGGCTGCAACGAGGTCTTCCCAGAGCCTTCTCTTCTCCAGGCTGAACAACCCCAACTCTCTCAGTCTGTCTCCCTTTCAGAGGTGCTCCAGCCCTGCTCCAATCACCTTTGTGGCCTCCTCTGGACTTGCTTCAACAGGTCCACATCCTTCTTACTCTGGGGACCCTAGAGTTCCCCAGGTGGGGTCACTTTTATACAGTGCACGACACGCTGCCTATTTTTATTTAAGAGCTATTATAGTAGCAGTGTCTTCACCGCTACGGCCACGGGGCAGGATTGGCTCCCCTCGCCAGGTAAGCCTCGCACGCTGCTCCCGCCGCCGTCCCGCTCGGCGCCCCCTTCCCCTATTAAAGTTCGGGCAGCTTTATTTCCCTCGCACCGCTGGGCGGGCGCCCCTCCGCCTTCGCTACCGAGAACCGCCCTGAGCGCCGCTCCAAAGGCCGCCCCGGTCCTGCCCTCACGCCGGGCGGCTCCCTGAGCCCGGGCAAGGCCGGGCGGGCCGGGCCCCGAGCGGCGGCCGCGGTGCGAGGCGCAAGGGGGGCCGATGGCGGCGGCGCAGGGCTGTGGGCGAGGGGCGGAGCGCAGAGACCCTGTGGCTGCCATGGCCGCCTCCCCCTCCCCGCAGCCTCCCTTAAATACTATGGAGCGGCCGTAGCTGCGGTGGGTGCCGCTGCCGAGCGCACCATGCGGGCTGTCATCGCCTTGGCCGCGGCGCTGGGCAGCCTGCTCCTGGGCGGCTGCCTCTTGCGCCTGGGCGGCCAGCAGCCCCTCCGCGCCAGGTAGGGCGGCCGGGGGGCCTCGCCCGTGCTCCGGGGCTGGCCGGGGAGGGCGGAGGGAGCGGGACGAGCCCCGCGGGGCGCGGCGGAGCCCGGCGCGGTGCCCGGCGCATCCCGGTGCGGTGCCCGGCGCGGTGCCCGGGGCGCGGGCGGTGCTGGCCTCGGGGTTCCGCGGGAAGCGGGCGGGTCGCGGGGAGGAGAGCAGCGCCGGTCGCGCCGGGTGATGCTCCATCGCCCGCTCTGACAACTTTGTTTTCCCGTCTCGCTTGCCAGGGGCTGGCAAGAGGAGGAGGCAGGAGTAGCTACTGTCACGCCGAAAGTGGTGCGAGCCCTCAGGTCCCCCCTGACGCCCCTTCCTCAGACCGAGAACAGGTACGGGCTGCCCGCCCGCAGGTGGGTCCACGGGGACGGGTCTGCAGAAGCAGAAACTCACCTTCGCTCTAATTCGTTCTTCCTTTTGGTTTGGCAGCTTAATCAGAGCGTTAGAGGTTATTAGAGAAAATGAGTCTGCTTTAACTGTAATGAATTATTTGCTCTTGGGCTCTCTTAATGACGGCTGTCACTCTGACGTTGCTTTTGAGCCCAATAAAATGTTGCATAGAGCAGTTTTGTTAATGTACAATGCAAAAGGTTCTTGCTGAATGGCACGTTCCCGTTATCTTTTATCCTTCTTTCCAGGAAGGTGGAGCTGGAGCTGGGTAATACTGTTACTGGTTTTGTAACGTGTATTTAGTTATAAATACAGATTTCTCATTTAAAACCCATAGAGTGAAGGTGAGACATACAAAGCCTTTTTAATTTGGTGTGGTATCTTACATCGTGGGAGCCCTTTCGCTTGATCTTGAGTCTTGATCTTTACATCAGTGTAGATTTTTGCTTTACAGCCTGTTATTTTACACTGTGAAGTCTAATAAGATGATAGCTGGTAAAATTAACTGTGAAACAAGTAGTGTCTTACATGCAGGTGACTGTTGTTTTTGAACTCTTGAGTCTTTACACACTGTAGGAAAACTAATAGTGCGGACGAGGGTGGTGTAGTCCACACATGAAATAATAAGATGTAAGAAGTAGTTTGCAAACATTTTTTGCTATTCTCTTTTTTTACTTTATATGGCCTTTTTAACATTACATTTGAATGAGTACTATATGTTAATATATATTATGATCAAAAACACCCAATAAAAACTAGAAAGAACTTAAGAATTGCATCTTTCATGGTGACTCTGATGTCCTGTTTGTACTAAAGTCAACGATGACAGTGCAGTTAACCTTACTGAGGCCATCATCTCACCCAGTTTACCCAAATTTGAGTGCTTTCCCTAAGTGAATGCAAGTGATGTTAGTAACCATTGCAGTGTGCCCTAACAGTACATTTCTTACACATTTCTAGTGAGAACCCTTTTGCTCCCTGCCTCGAAATGAAAGCTTTCACAAGCTGTAAGTTTATAGCATATTTCAAAATTAGAGTGAAACAAAAGGAAGAGGAACATTTGGAAAATTCTGTCTGCTGTTATGTGCTTCTAGCCTGCTTCTCTTTCCTGTGCTCATTTTTCCTGTTCCTTTTTTCTCTTCTTTTCCACTCTTTGTAGTATATTGGTTTTGCAGTATGTACTCAGTTCTTCTTTCTTTTTTTAACTGTCACCCCATTCTTTTCTCCACTCTGGTTTGGGTTATGTCTGTGGTTTTCCCCTGGCCTGTCTTCTCACACTCATCCTTGCTAGTTTCTGAGCTACATCTCTTTCCACTCAGCTCTGTGAGCTAAACCATGGAGTCAAATTGACTAGAAATGCTGGCAGAGAGCACTTCAGAGAACAGTCTAGCTAATTCCCATCTGCTGTTAGTACACTCACAACTGGAGCAAAGAAAGTGGAAGCAACACATACCAAAGAGTGCTGAAAATCCATGACATGATTTTAACCTCTGTAAAAAGGCGAGTGAGCTTGAGATTTTTAAATACGTGTTTTTCCTTATTCTACTTGGAGGATTTTAGCACCAATTTAGGTCTATTTTTGATCAAGCTGAAATTGTATTTCTTATGACTAAGTAACTGCAAAAGTTTGACAAGTAAATAGTTCATCAAAAGACGTTTCATTTTACTCTAACTCCTATAACTGTAGTATCTTTGGAGGAATGGCTTGCCAGCTAAATCCAGGAGTGGATGTGCTTTCTTACCTCTGTGACTATGCTCAGTAAGCTGGCCTGACAAGAGTTTGTGGTGCATCTTTGGCATATGAGGAAGGACAGTGAGCTTCTGGACTGACCAGGAGCTGTTACTTAATCCAGAGAGCAGCTAGACTGGGCAGGGAGCCATACTGGAGAGGTTTGATCTAGCCAGGCAGCAGCTGGACTGGGCCTGGCTAAAGGCCATACTGGAGAGGTTTGATCCGGAGAGCATCTGGACTCATTCAGGAGATTCAGACGAGTCCCTCAGTGATTGAGATGAATGGCTTGGACAATAGAAATTAGATTCCAGTTTGCAGTGGGGTTTTGCTGCAGTATCCATGAGTCCATCAGAAGGACAGTAGAGTTCCTTGTTGAAATAGGTTGTACAAGGGTTAGTAAACTTTTGAATTGCATGAGGCTATGTTAGTATATTGATGCATAAAACTAGGAACAATCTATTCATGCAGACTTCCCAAAGTATGGTTCTCTTAAGCTACCCTGGTCATTTGAAAGGACAGCAATGTCCTTTTCTACATAAGAGTAAGAGGATGTGCATGGATGTTTCTAGGAAAGAAAAAAGAAAAAAAATCAAGCCTGGTTGTTATCCTTTTTGATCTCTCACTATAAGTAATCTACACAATCTTGACAGTCACCAGCTAATCTTCTTATCATGATTTACTTTGCTGTTGGAGGCGTATTTGTAACCAGACATCTCCTGAAGAATCTCTAAGGTCCTATTATTCTGTTGCCTCACAGTATTGAAAGCTAATCTGTTCTTTTACTTTGAGTAATTCTTTTAAAAGGATAAAACTGAGAGATGAAAGGATGGAAAGCAAGGAATTGGATCAGATTGTCATAGATATTTAGGCAGCTATTATGCGCAGTAGTGTTTAATTAGGTGATGACCAGGCACCTAAAGTTCTCTGAAGATCTGCATCTTAGTAAATAACCTTGAAGATCCTTTTACAGGACACTCCTTACCACTTTTTCTTGTTAAGTGTTAGATAACTTGAGCAATGTGACTGCCCCTAGACTGTGGTGTCCAGTTTTTGCTTGTGTTTATTTCCCAGCCTGTTAGTAGGGTTTTGTTACTGAAAAAAGGCCATTGTTAGTAAGATTTGTCTAATAGTCCCCAGATTTATTCATGAAATCACCATCATTTACATTGCAATACTATGGTTTTCTGGCAAATTCTCATGCCTCTGCTTAATACCACCCTCTCAATTTTTAAGCTGTAACTGGAAGTACAGCTTAAACTTTTTTAAGCCAACAGTACAACCAAAAGGAGTAGTCTTGCACTTTTCCCACCTTTAGACACTTGGTCTTCCCTTCCACCCTCCTTCCCTCCTCAGCTGTGTCTGTGCTAGCATATTCGTTTGTGTAGTCACAGCATTAATAGCAAATCAGAAAGCTCAGTTCTGCTAGTGCTTATCAGGGAAAGGTGACAATAATAAGAGGAGATAGGTAGTCTTTTCTCTGTTATGAGGCCCAGGGTGTACTATATTAAGCGTAGACAGAAATTCTAGCTCCTTTTGTACTGCTGAGAACATATAGCAGATAAATAATGCTGGCTCCTGCAAGGGAAGTGAAAATAATTTTCTTAAGCACTATTTATATATCCTTTACGTACAAGTAACAGCAAGGCAGCAGTACCCTGAAGAACTTATTCTGTTTGTGTTGCCAATTGCATTCACTTACTATTTCTCTAGCTTACTCTGTTTTTACACGTCCAAGGTAAGCACAAGATTGTTGGGGTAATTGAACAGTGGGAGGAAGTGATTGAGAAGCTATGAGTAAAAAAGTTAGTATTAATACAGTGTTCGCTAGTGTTGATTTCTCCAGTTCCTCTCTTACCAGCAGATCTTTATGAAGGCCTAGGAAATAAAACAGCTATACTTAATTAACTGTGCTAGAGAGACCTGTACATTCTGTCTCCTGTCAAAATATTGCATTTAGGCACTCAGAAGGGAAAGAAGAGACAGGCTAATACCACAATTATGAACAGTAGCCTAGTGTATTGCACAAATAATTTGCTACAGTTTAGATTAGTCAGCAGTGGGGTCCACTTCGCTAATTTTACTGCTTTCTTACTATTTTATCTCTTCATTCCCAAGTGATGCATGGAGACCTATTCTAAGAGCACATTTTAAACACGTCTCATGTATTAGTTTTGTCTAAATGAATAGGTGTTTAGCTGAAAGCTGCTGCCAGGACACATTTATGTTCTGACAGTGGTGAAAGGTTTCCCAAACTTTCTGTTTACTTGGTCCAAGTGAAACTGCTCTGTCATTCTGTCAGTTGTGTGCTATTGTAACATGATTTTAGTGTAAGTACCTTATTCTTTTCACTTTACCCACCATGAGGCTCTGAATGTTGCTTGTCATGTTACCTGCCATGCGGTTTATGGATTTTATAAATAAAAGGTATCTGATATTATGTGCAACTCTGGTGAATGCACTGGAGGGTCTTTCAAATAATTTAAAAATGCAACTTGTCTTAAAGACCTGAGTTAGCATTTCTTGGATAAGCAAAACCTCCATGGGAACTGGAACGAGGATAGTAGGATCAGTCTCTTTCACAGTTACTGTGGTTAATGTCTCAAGACGAATTCTTACTCCCATGGTTTGATAAAGCCATTTTTATAGTCCATTTCACCAGGAATTTAAATTGTGTATTGCCTTATTAATCAAGGTGTTGTGAATTTTAAAAACATCACTATATTCTTATCATCTGATTAATCTGAAATAGTGTCAAAGACAGAACACCTAAAAGCACCCTTCCTAGGGAAGTATGGATTACATTTTTTTAATAGTATTCAACTAATAGATGATGCAATTCAAATGTAAATTAGTCTCTTCAAGGGAGAGATTAAGACAGAAGGTATTCACAATCTGGATAGTGTTGTTCAGTGCCCCTTTGGTAGAAAGATATGAATGTGCAGTTTTGCATGCACAAGTTATCCTTTTTAACTGGAGATGCTCATCGAGAATATGTTCAGAGTTCCCGTGCTGCTTCAGAAACACAAGAGCAGGAAACTATAAGAAAGAAGGAGCAACAAGTAGATCTGCTGGGAGTGGAGTAATAAAGCCAATGAGTGGGATTATCCCTTACTTTCGGTGTAGACTTATTAGGGAGGTGAAATTCTTGTTACTTTCACTACTGCCAGACAGTCCAGTTATGAGCTCTCGAAAATCTCATCCCACATTCTTTCAGTTGTTTCCAACTGATTTTGTGGGAATTCTGGAGGAGTGGTCTTGCAGTCTTGGGCATATCTTTGTTATGGTACAATGTACAGCACTATATTTCCTTTTTCTATCTGCCTTTTTTTTCTTCTTTGCCTACCATTCATCTATCTTATGCTCATCCCCTTTCTTACTCTGATAGCTGTTTGGGATTGACTTTGATTTTGTTCTTAAAGGGTTTCCTTTTTCTTTCCCTCCCTGCTTCCCCAGAATTCCATGTTAACTGATGTACTCTCTGGTAATTCCCTGCACTAAGGCTCCGTATGTCTCAGGAATGAATGCTACAGGAGCAGCAAAAGGGACCATGGGCTTTCCAAATAGTTTCTCTGTTTCTTATTCTACAGGTGTGATCCTTATCTTAAAAGAATTACAGTTTAAAGATCTGCTGTTTTCCTGAGAACAAGATATAGAATCAAAACATTCTGATAAATATGGCACATGGTCTTAATCTACTGTGGATTTATTAAAGTACAGATGGTGTACTTTCTGAGTTCCTAGAATTACCATAGGAAGTATGTGGTCCTCAAGCTGTTTGTATATGATTAAAAAAAACCCCTGTTTTTCAGATTTTGGCCAATGATGTTGGCTTTGAGAACATCTAAACCCTAAGGGAAATGCAGCTGAAATTTCCCTGTATCATCAGTTTTATAAGCTCTAGCCAACAGAATATAACAAGGTTTCTACTTCAAGTTCTCATTTAGCTTAATAGTTTGCAAAATTAGTTGAATGTAGGCTGTTATGTGCATTATTAGACATGTTATCTAATTTCAATGCAGAAGTTTTAACGCAGTTCTAAGTATTGAACAAAGGCTGTCATCCACTAGGTCAGGTAAATTCATTTAGTAATAAATGTTGCCTAGCATAATTGTCCTAAGTGGTCAGAGATTTAATCTGAGTCTGATGTCTGCACAACTCTGCCATGAATAATGCAGTGGAAGTCTGGACTGCCCCTTGCACACCTCTTTTTATCCGAATGCAAAAAGATTTCGCTTGTGAAGCAGAGGCCATTCTGACAAGGAAACAGAAATTTAGAAATTTAACTTTTAATAGAATGAGTAATTGGTTTGCATTGCCTTGCACATAAAATGTCTTATTTTCATACCTTTTTCACTATATGAAAAGCATTTAGTAAATTTTTTGTGGAAAAAGCCACAGAAGAAGCATTTCGGTGATCTACAATGTGTCTGCATTATATGAATAAACAATTTTGATTAAAGTGCCTGTCTGGTTTTCCCTACAGTTGTGTCATTTTAACCAATCTTTACATATGTCATGGAAAGAGAAGGAAAGATTCCTTGTTCCTTTTTTCTCCCCTTGATGGCTGTAAAAGTGATAGTGAGGATTTAATGACATCAAGGATTTATTTTGCTTTTTTCTTCTCTGAATTCTTCCTTTCTTAGTTTTTCAAGTCTTGAAAATGTGCGCATAAAAAACCAATTACTTATTAAAAAAATGAGGCAACTTGCTTGTTTTGATCTTACATATTTTAAAGGACTAAATGTCTGTTGAGTAAGCTTGTATTTGAGAGAAGATTTATTCGTAGCTCCACAGATCTCAGGACATAAGTTATGAGGAAGCTACAAGAGCATGGTAACGATTCTCTGCACCCAGCTGAAACCCACTCCTGAAAGAATGCTGATTCTCCACCAATGCCTGCAAATGCACCTCTCAGAAGCTGATCAGATCTAACAGCCTGCTCTGACTTGGTCATCCTGGCAGGCTTCGTGTGTTACAGAAGGTCTCCTCTGACCAGCTGTGGCTCAGGAGGGCCGGGGCCACTTCTCAAATCGGCATCCAACATTTTAGGTTTCAGCTATAATGAAAGTCTTATTTGCAGCACTAACACGCACTTGGCTTATATCAATAGTTCTTTTTATTTATTTGTTTATTTTTGAAGATGCTGCTAAACTTTGCCTGTAGCCATTTCTCTTACTTTGAGCTGCAACTGCAGAATAATCATTTGAGGTTACTGAGTTAAAGAAGTAAGAGAGGAAACATGATTTAGTGCTAACTAAATTTGTTTGGGAACTGGAAACAGCGTACCAGGTTCTTCAGGGCCTAGCAGAACCATTCAGACCAAGCTGCAATAAACCTGTGTGCATAAATGACATAGGCAGAATATTTGCTGGCACTTACTGTGTGAAATCTTCTGAGTTGTTAGCTTTGAACTGTGTTCTCTGAGAGCCTTCTGCCATTTGTATGTCACTCCTTGAGAAGGAATTAAATAAGGAACTGTATGCAAAGACAGCCAAGGAGCTTTCAGTAGGCAGTGTGAGCTGTTACTATAAAGTCACTGCAGAACTGAAGGGACAGAGGTGTATGTTATGTTGTCTTACCATTGCCCTCAACAAGGGGTGTGCAGACTGGATACTTCCTCAGGGGCACTAAGTGTATACTTGGAAGAAGTTCTTGCTGGTGGAAAGAAAGGAAGAGAGCTGATGTCTCTCCTCTGCAGCCTACATCCCGTGTGAATTGCTCCTATGAAGTGACAGATTCACTAGAACATTTGCGTGGAGTGGAAAGAGGAGGAAAGATGGTTCATCCTTTTCCTACCATCAGCTATGAACATGACAGTAAGTTCAGCAGCAAAATAAACAAGCATGTATTCCTCTATTTCATCTTCAGTCATTCTTCTCATTTGAAGTGTTTAAAAAGAGAAGGCTCAGAGGGGACCCTATTGATATCTGAAGGGAGGGTGCAAAGAGGATGGATCCAATTTCTTCTTAGAGGTACTCAGTGACAGAACAGAGGCAGTGTTCCCTCTGAACATCAGGAAACACTTCTTCACTGTGAGTGACTGAGCACTGGCACAGGCTGCCCAGGGAGGTTGTGAAGTCTCCATACTTGGAGATATCCCAAAGCCATCTGGACACAGTCCTGAGCCACTCTCTCTAGGTGGCCCTGCCTAAGCAGGAAGATTGGATCAGGTGACATCCAGAGGTGCCTTGCAACCTCAGCTGCTCTGTGGTTTTGTGGCTTGAAGTGGCATCTTTCCCAAGTAAGGTCTTCAAAATCAGCTTTTCAGAAATCTTGTTACTAAGTAGTTTCTGAGTTTTAACAGATGAAGGCAATGGAGTTTTGGTCCATTTCACTAAAAGCAGTGATGGTTCAGAAGCAGAGTGCATCGTGTACAAAGCAGGAAGATCCTTTCTCTTTGTGTGTGAATGCTTCTGTACAGAGATGTCTCAGTTCTCTGTTTCTCAGAACAACATGAGTTCTCCTCTCTGCTGCAGCTCACACCCAGAAGGGAATGACACAGCATCTCTGTCTTTTATGTTACTACTTCTGTTTTGGACAAACAGGTTGCAATGTCCAGGTGCTCTGTAAATAGTGAATCAATGGAAAGAACCAAAAAGGACAGGGAGGTGGCAGGGAGGAAGATGGTGAGGGGCAAGGAGAGTAAAAACGCTGGAGGAAAAATCTTCGTGATAAATGGCAGTCCACACAGCAGAAGGCTGATGGCAGAAGAGGGTAGTTGTATGAGATGGAACATAGATAAGGGGTGAACTGAGGTGAATGCAATAAAACTTGGTGTCTCAGTCATTTAGTAATTTACATCTCAGTCTTCTGCCAGGGCTGCCAGAGCATGAGGACCACACAGGAGTTTGGTGAAAATAAGACAGGAACTAAAGATCAGTATCTGACACTTGCCTTAGTTCCTTTTACAAATATTTACCCTCTCTGTGTAAATAAAAATAAACAAGGCAGGAAGTATTACACTCAAGTCAGTAAGTTAAGGTCCAAGTACAAAGATCCACTTCACCTGTGGTGTTTTCTGTACATATTATGTTGGCTCTGAACATTGCATTTTGTCAACAACTTTAGGAAATTACATCTGCTAAATATTTTACTAGTGAATATTTTAAATATCTTCAAAACATAATGTTCAAGATGCTTCCCATTTAATTTATTTTTTTAAAAATTACATTTGCTGATTACAGTGTAAGACAGAAAATATAATTCCAACTATGAAATAGGGTTCTTTCAAAGAATTGGACATTTTATAGTTCCTAGCAGCAAACTCCCCTTTTATAACAAGAACTTCACAAAAGCAGTCAATAAGATTTGTTTGGTAATGTTTTCAGCTAAATCAACAGTTATTAATCTTGTTGTCATAGCAAAGTAAATGTGACAGCATTGTTAGAATATGTTCTCTGGTTTAAAGTTTGTTGCTTTATCTCCTACTCCCCTCCCCTTTTTAACAGAACAACTGCTAATAAAAATGGAATTTACCAGTTTGAACAGGCTTCAAAATGTAAGGCAATTCAGGACAACATTTTGTCATCATCTATCAAGAAGAAAAGGTAGGTGTTTTCTGTGCTTTCTGCTTTGTTTGTTTTAAATAGAAGAGTAAGACATTGTCCTTTTTACATAACTACTCATATATTCATGTGGAGCTATACAACAGGAAACTGAAATTGTTCAACCAATATTTTCTGAATTTTTTCTTGTACGTGGATAAGGTTGGATTTAATTTTTTAATACATCAAGATTGGATTTAATTTTTTTTACTTTAACAACATAAGTCAACAAAATTTCTTCTTGTCAGTTAGCACCATTATATTCCATATTGTTCCCAAAAAGATTGAGTAGAATCTGTGAGGTTACTTTAGAAAGTAATACTTCAGAGAGTGACAAGAATTTTAGCAGGGCTGATACCAAAGTTGGGGGGTTTTCCATGTCAGAAAAAGACAGAACAGCAAGTTGAAACTCAACAAATTTTTCTGCCCTCTCCTCATTTTCTCTTTTCATTTAAAGATCTTTCACCTGTTTCTGTCGCCATACTTCCAGCAATCTCTCTTACTATTATTATTTCTCTATTTCTCCTTTCCTCTTACCTCCATTCTCTATAATGTCTTCTCCCATGAATATTCCACCTCCTCAGCAACACCATCATTAACGTTTTTACTTGTGAAAGGTGGAACACCACTATGTTACTGGTGCACTGCTAGTGAGAACTGAAACACAGACTGGAAAACAGAGGTCAAAGAATGCTGAAAACTTGAGTGTGTAACAGCAAGATAAGGATGACCAGTCACTGTATTGCCTTCAAAATGCACTTAGCAATATATCAATGCTGTTGTTTATCCCACACATTACAAAGTTGTACAGGCTGCAACAATGGAGATGAGCTCTTCATATTGAGAGCATTTTGGAGCTGAGATTATAGGAGAAACTTTACAAAGTGCAAGATGTTTATTCTGTGGCTAAAGAGAAAGGACTGCACCATTTAATGAGGCAAAAGAGGAATGGGGCAGGTGGGGAGAGAAATGGATGCTTGGAGCGAAGAAGCAAGGGATTGCTTTTTGCCATGAATATTGTAGCTATTGCCCTTCACTGAGAGGAGTTGCAGGGATCTTTGTTGCTTTTTCAAGGTGTGACCCACAGACATGGTATATAAATGCTTTATATTGCAGTTCTAGACTTTCAGGGACGTTCTGGACACTCTTGCCTCTTAAGTTGGCAGAAAGGGAAAAAATTACTACTTTAAAGCTTGTCAAATGATTTGATAGTAAAAAATGCTATGTAAGTGGGAAGTTATTATTATAGCAGGTATGTGCTGGTGGTGATAAAAAGCCTGAAATACTGAGTTTGGCTGGCAGTTTTCCATTTTTATTCTAGAGCAAGCCCTGTGCACACTCTCCTGAGGGTTTTTAAAACTGATAGTTTTTTTGGTAGTAGTAAAGTGTTCAAAGGCAAAATGGATCCTCCCCTTCTCTTGCATATCCTACTGTTGTATTTCTTTTTTTTTTTTTCTTGAAGATAACCTGCTAAGTAGGAATATATCCTTTTTTCACTCTTGCTGTTCAGTCTTCCTTCTAATTCAAATAGTTTTTTAACAAGTAGGTGTTTAGTTTTAGCAAGTGGGGCTGCATCTGTCTCTCTCTTCTGACATTTTACCTGTTGTCTCCATACTATGCCAACACTTCTGTCCCTGCTGTTGTCTTACAGATGTCTACCAAAAATCAGAAGATACTTGTATTTTGTCATAATATATTTTGTAATATTTTGACTGTGCATAATAATTCCACCTTAGCCATTGCAGTTAATGTAGAAGGTCACCGTGTACCTGACAAATACTGAAGGCAACAAAAAAAAACGCCTTCCAGATGTTATTTGTCAGTAAACTCATACAGTACGAGTTTTCTATGACAGCAAGTTATTATAATGGTTGTGGTGCAGGTGGCAAACAAAAAACAGGACAAAACATGTTTCATTCACTATTCTCAGCACTGTAATAATTGTCTTGTCCAAGTATTTTTATAGTTCAATTTACCTGAGCCTTTTTATTTTAATAATAAAACCCCTTTAGCATCAGTGAATATGTGCTGTAGGCTCCTGGGTGCCAGAGGAAATATATGTATTGTCCCAGCTCTTTAAAATGGATCAGTGGAGAAGACGACTGTCTGGGTTACAACAGAGCCGTGAAATGATTCCCTGATGACCTTCTGGTCTGATTCCGTTGGAGGACTGAGTCCCCAAGGCTCCTTTAAAGCAGGAAATGTTAACCATCGGCTTTCTGAGAAGAAAACAAAGCTTTCTGGGCTGTAAACCGAGCTGCAGCAAATCTCAGAGCTTCAATTGGGGTCTTAAAAAAATTATCTATAGGAATATTACCTGTATTTAAGTAGAGTTCATTTCATGGAAGCCTCATACTGATGTGAGCAGATGCATTGCAGAGCTGCCACAGTTGGGAGCTTCTGTCCCCCAGGACAGCGTGCTGGGATGTCTCTGCTCCCTGTAGCACTGTGCCAGCTGGCAAGGATGAGTTGTGACAGTCTGGAGTGCCTTTGTAAGTCACAAGAAGAGCTAAACTGGATTCACAGGGCTAGCAGAGGTGGCGTTATGACTTGTAAAGACCTGGAAGTGGTGCTTTTCCTGGTGAGCTGGTTAACTCGTCCTAAAGCAGGAGTCATTCCATCCAGCAGACAGCAGTGGAAAAGCTGCAGTGTTCTTGCCTTTGTAATTCGTGTTCTTACCCTGTGTGCACCTTCTGTTATATGTGTAAGAAGGTCCTTAATTTCTGACAGTGAGTGCCTGTGTTTCCCATGAGCCCTCAGAACCAGCATTATGGGTGACACTTTCATTTTTCTCCTTACCAAATGTTTCCCTGCAACTTGCTAATAACTTGTCAGTCCGTGCAATTTCTTTCTGAGCTGATGGTAATTTTTCTTTTAATTTATGACTCTGATCTTCATCTTATCAATGTCTGTAGGCTAGACTTTGTTTTTTGTATAAATTTTTTCTCCTGGATGATGATAGCCTAAGTAACTCTTCATGCTCTGTTATCCTATTAATTTTTGGAATTTTTTCTTAAGTCTCACCATCTAAGAGTTATTTAATGTTTTCCCTTAAGAAATAAAACTAGATGAGTGATTCAATGTCAGAATAGGCTATTTTGGTCCTGTGCTTTTTTCTCATCCTCCCCCCACACGCACTCCCTGCCCTGGCCTGTGCTGGTACTGACACTTGTCTGACCTCATGGTGAGTCAATTTAGGTAGCAGCTTCAGCAGGAAAGTAGTTCCATTTTCTCTGGCTGCAGTTCCAAGGTTGATAATGCAACATACCATCAGGCAGCTGCCAAAATAGGAGGGCCTTATTCCCAGTTTTTCCACTCCCATTACTTGTTGCTTATACTGGCCGCAGTATTTGATGGAACTTCTCTTGATCTGGTGTAACATAACACAATCAGGGAGAAGAAAATGTATATAATATTTTTGTATATGTAATATATATTATATATATTTTCCTTTTGTTTGTTTCTTTTTTTGGTTGGTTGGTTGGTTGGTTGGTTCTTTTTGCTGTGGTAGTAAGTTAAAGGGGCCTATGGAGGCATTTGACAAGTGCAAAAACTGGCCAAAGGGAAACAGAGGTGGAGTCAAGTAAGTACCAGCAGTGACACAAGGGAGAGAACTGATTTGGAGTTGGATTGGAAGGAAAAAGAATGTACTGCACCAGGTCAGATCAGCTACAACTGCAATGAAACTAGTTTGCTCTTCACCCACTTCTGCCCAGTCATTCCTCCTGAGTTGTGCAAGGGCTCAGTAAAATAATTTTAGTCACAATCATCTACTTCCTATAAGAGTTTTCTAAGTGTGGAGGATGAAAACCATACATTTTATCACAGATGCAAACTTGAGCCAGAGACCAGTTCCAGTGCAGTATTCCTCTTAATAGTATCATTTATTTTTTTTCCAAATTGGACAAGATTTTGCTCAGGGGTAGATAAACAAGTTACCTTTAGCAATTGCAGTACTTTTTTGAAGGAAACAAAAAAGAGAGCTGTTTTTTTCCAGTACTGAACACAGAGATGGAGAGAAGCTTTCAGATCATTGACCTGTGCTGCTTCAAGCCACCGCAGCCTTCCTTTTTATCACTTCTCATGGTACATTTAAAAACAAGCAAGGATTCTTGCCATCCCAGCTCTTGTAAAACTGTTCACAATAGACACTTGTAAGTTCCAGCTTAAATAAAGTAGTGATCATTGGGTTTGGGCCACCACTAAGCTATTTTTGCTAAAATAATACATCGTAGATCTTTTATGGAGACTTGAGTACCAAAGAATTCTTAGTCATGGCATCCATACCATCTCTTCTCCCCATTCCCCCAGTCCTCCTTATAAGTCAGTTATTTTTTTAAAAAAACCCTGTATTATGATACAAGCACAAATGGGAGAATTAGTAACATTGAATCTGAAGGAAAAAATGTATCCAATCTTTTGACTTATGTGTTATAAAGTATTTCACTTATGGACAAATTTAAATCTCTTGGAAGGTTTAAAAGGAGCAGAGAGGTTTTTGTTTACATGTAGCCAATGTACATTGCTACATGTGCTGGTTGATGTAAAGTGGCAGATTGTTTTATTCAAGAATAATTTAAAGGAAAACTTTCATTTGTAAATATTGGTCTATGGTCTTAGATGATTGAATTGAGCTTTGGGGACTCGGATAAAGTAAATGAAAGAAAAAGCATGAGAAGGGTGATGTTTCCCCTTGGCTTGCAAGAGCCACTTTTCAAAACATTTTTGAAGTTTAAACCACCGAGTACAAGAGTTTTTTGTGTTATTTTGGGCTTTTGCACTTGAGATGATTTTTAATAACTTCAAGATATTTATGGTCAATTACTTAAGTTTGAAACCCATGTACTTTTGAAAGTTTCTGAAAAGAAAAGTTCATTAGGACATCACTACTAAGAAGAGATGTTTAATAGGTCATGCTAATTAAATGAGGATAGCACTGTTAAAAATTACAAAAATAAAATAGGTCATGGAGTTCTAAAAGCAATCTATTATATATGCACCATGCACATTATTATTAATACATGCATCATTTGAATGTTTTAGAGACTGCTTCTAAATATACATACATATAAATTCTACTGTTTGATGTTGTTTCCTTTTTTAGATACTCAGAAGATTATTATCTTCACATAGTTACAAAACTGCAGAACTGCACCTGGGTAAGGAGACAAGAAGAATCTACAAAATTCAGGTAATTTTCATAATCTTATTTAGAAAAACTGTTTACCCTAGACTTTTCTAACAAGCCATAAATTTAAATCTTCCCTCTTAAACAGATTTTGTATTGCTTTTACTAATTTCTGTGATTCTTTTGATGCTGAGGCTCTTCTCGTTTGTTGGAATTGAACTGTGCAAACTGAGTAGAATAAAAGAACTACATAAATGAAGCAATATCACCTATCTCCACTACTCAAGTAGAATGGATTAAAAGATTCCTGGCACAAAACCTTCAATGTTAAAAAAAACCCCAAACAGTAATGTCATTTTGTCCATCTAAAACAGCACTCTGGTAAAAGACTGTATAATGAAGCAGTGTATTTCTTACCCCAAGACTATTGCGTCTATTACAGAAGTGCCCAAGGCACTCATTAGGTTTGATGCTGCTTGTCATGGCCCCTGAGCACCTCAGCACGTGGTTACATCTGTCCTTGTTGGAATAGCATGTAAGTACATCCTCAGTAGGGACAGTGATCCCTGAAAAGCTTAAACACTCATTTGGAAATGCTGGTTTTAAAGAACAGCTTCACTGTGCCATCCCTATTTTATCCAGGGGAAAAGTCTCTATTAATTATATTATTACATGGGTTAGATTTAAAGATACTGTCGTGATCTTTAAAAATAAATAAACTGGCCTACCTTCCAACTCTTTACGGTTAATGAGCATTGAGAACTTACTATGCACATGCTCAGCACGGTACCTTTAGAAGAAGTAGTTTGGGGGCTGGGGAAGCAGGGTAAAGGATAGCATAAATTGTAACATAAATTGCTGTGATAGCTGTGTATCGTAACTGACTAATAGTGTTTCCCAGTGCTGAGGTAGGAGTATACACAGATTTAAGGTTTTAGAAACTTTGTGTTGACTCAGGCAGGCTTTAGCTACACACAAAGATATCAGAGCATGATAAGGAGCTATAAAGCAGCCCATTCTGTTTCAGAGAAACATCTTGTGTAGAGTTGACAGAAGGTGAAGCTACTCTCACCTGCTCCTCACCCTCCTACGTTTAGGCTTTTTGTTTTCCAATCTGTTTTTTACTTCTCTCCCTTCCAAACAGACCAGCCACCACGTATCAGCAATTTGCTACTGCTTCTGTTGTGCTGGCTGTATGAATCAGTGGCAGAGTAGCCACTCCTTGGTCCAACTGGACCTCTTCATTTATTGCTTCTGTAGTCTCCCTTCAACTGGGCTGACTTCTGCATCTTCTAGGCCTATGGGAATCAAACATGCAAACCATCATATAAGACTGTTGGATTTTAAGTACAAGATGCTTACTGTTCCTCATGTTGTCTTTGGCTTCCAGCAAGGAGTGTGGGTCATGAGTAGTCAAGATGGGTTATACAACTGATGATCAAACTGGAAATATTCAGAAGTGAAAACCATGGGCTGTAGTAAGCCACTGAAAAAATGTGGACTGTATGTACATTGAGGTGATCTTTCTAGCTTTACCTTAGTTCAAATACCAAGCAAAAAACCCTATTTTTAAATCCGTGGTTCTGCACAGGCTGGACAAACTTGTTACTGATTCCACTTTCCAGGGCTGTACTGTTATGGTTTCCTTGGGTTTTCCATCCAAACTAGCTAGAGCATTAGCTAGGTCATATGTACAAAACCTATGCTGCAATTCTGATGACAGTACTGTATATTCTTCTGTTCCTGAAGTTTGATCTGATTTGATGTCGTGCAAGAATTCCACTGGTATGACCAAGGACTGGTACTTTGGTGTAGGGCATTGCGGATTTTTTATTTTACAGAAGATGCATGCTTTTGCTTAAGTATTTTCTTTCTTTTTCTATCCTCAAACTCTTCTCTATTGTTTCATGGAAATACGGTATCAAAATTTTACAGTTGTCCTTAATCCCAGACCATACTGGAGACTTTCAAGGATCTTAGCAGCTGGTCAATAGATGCTTTAAAAAAAAGATTTAAAAAATAAACCCCCAAATTTCATTTAAAATTTACTGTCTTAATCTGTATACAGTCCATGCTTACAGCACTCCCAGACTTACTTATGAGACTTAAGCCCAAGAGCCTGGAACTAGCTTTACAAGGACACTTTGGCTCAGAAATGATGCATTGACAGAGCTCTGTGGGGAACAAAATTTCTAGAATTGTGGTGAAATAAATGAATTAATAATCCATGGGCAGTACATCTCTTCCTTTTTCTGACTTACCCTCCTGTTAGTAATAGCTGTATAACACAAATATACGGTTCTAAAAATTTCATTAAGTAGGTAGATAAACACACTCATTTACAGGAGAGGAAATTAATCTCAGGAGGGCCTGTGCAGCAGGGATCAGGTACTGAAGCCAGCCACCTTTCGGAGGGGGACTTGAAGCTGCCTGTGTCACATTAGTCACCTGCCAGTGCCACCAGAAGTCTGCCTGCTGACTAGACTGCAGAGAAGCTGCTTGACTTCTTTTCCTGTTTGCCCATCTGTTAAATGGAGTGAACGCTTAGATGCTTCTTGGGCATGGTGTCAATTTTATGACATCTCTCTATTATCCTGAAGTTCTGAAGAACAGACATGCATATTTATAAGGGATTTAATGTCTTATGCTTCAGGGCATAAACTAACCTCTAATTAATAAGGTTCAAGAGCAGCTTCTCCTGGGGTAGTCAGTTTTTCAGAGAAGCTTTCCTGTGTTTTCCTTTGCAGCTTTTGCTGTTGGCTGCCATCACACTGCTAGTGGAGTGAAGGAATATGTGATCTAAGCCAGTAGCTCTTAACGTTCCTAGAAGACAGCACGGTGTGCCAATGAGTACACATCCATCCTCTTTGTAAGCAGCTCTCCCAGCAGATCCAGGCCAAATAAAAGAATATGAATTAGAAGTGCAGTGCAGGAAAGAAATACTTGTCTTTTTTTTTGGCCAAAGTGTTACAGCTGACAGCCATGCCTGGCACAAAGTACAGTGTTTTTGCCAACTCATTGTTGGAGAGAAAAGTGCTGGATTCCAGGTCGACCCTCTGTTACTTTTGCCGTGCAGCTGTGTGTACTGTGTCCATTTTTTGTCAGAGAACTGGCCTTTTCCAAATGGTTTCCTCGAAAGCTGCTCTGCTCTACAGGTGGCTTGATTGCTATCTGACAACCGTCAGTGGTTCTTGACAGCTATGTGATGTTTACATGTGCATTTCTCAAAATCAAGAAGAATCAGGAGGCAAGTACGAGCCATGATACCTCTCATATCCACAGACACTCTTCTCTAGTTGATTTTTGTCCAGCCTCTATCAGAAAACCAGTACTGTGGCCCTTCACTTTAGTGTCTAATGGTGACATCAGCATTGCCAGATTTAGGCTGCCCTCAGAGGAGCAAGTGCAAGCACTTGGTTCACTGCTCTTGAAATCTAGTTAAGATTTATTGTGCCCCACAGTAGCATCTGTTAGTCGTTGATAAAGAGGTTTTATTTAGCTTCACATTAGAAGCTACTAAGGGTGATATACCAGAAGTGGTGTAAATAGCATCCTGCTGTGATTTAGGAAAAGTCTTCTCCAACATTTACTGGTAGGGATATATAGAAAACTAATTTTTTAATCAGACTTTTCCTTTATGAAATTCAGTGTCTTTTGTTATTTTTTTAATTATTACTTTTTCTTGTTCTTTATGGCTCTACACATCTCCACATTATGTATTTGTTTCTAAGTCCACCTGAATTCTTCCTTCCTTTTCAGTTTTACATCAGCTCTAGCTTGTATTAGACAGAGCAACTCCTCAGATTTCTTGGTCCTAAGAGAGAAACTTGGTAGAAACTTGGAAAGGTAAGGGAAATAAGCTCACAGCTGCCTGAAAGTGTCATCCTTAAAGCTCCAGGAAAAAAAGCCTTGCTGGGTAGCTTCCTCTGCAAAGGCTCTTCTAGCCACATTCAGTAGAGTCTCAGGTTACCTAGGTAACCTGAATATTAATTATTATATTAGTATTCTTCAAAGGTTTTCCACTTAAAAGAAATGTTTCATTAGGGCAACAAATTACAGAGCACAATTAGGTGCAAGCTGTAATCGTCTTTTACACCTCATGTCTCTTTGCTTCACAGACTTTTAAGCTTGATTTATTCTCACTTGGGCTCTACACCCATGGTGCCAAATAATCTGCAGGTTTTCAACATAGTTGTGACTCTCGTTTTTGCAGAAAGCTACCAGATAGTTAAAACAGCCCTCAAAATGAGGGGAGGAAGAATATGGAGGAAGAAAGGCTGTGCAGATGCTGTATTTCAGAGAAGCCTCTGGGCATTGTATTTCTGGGCTATCTCCCTGAGCTTGAAGCCTGGCAAAGCAGTGTAACAGTTCCTCAGGGGAGGAATCACACTGGAATAGCCCTCTGTGAACTGTGGGTACTAGGCCCTCTCCCCGGGAAAGACCACTCCAGACAAACCTTATTTGCATCTGATAATGAAGGGAGAAGGAAACTTCTGGGTGTAAAATACAGTTTTAAAAGTCCTGATGTTACACTGCAGTTTAGCTGGCACACTGCTCCCCCCTGCCTCCAGGCAAATATTTTTTACTTTTTTAAAAAAGAAAACATTACTACTTTCAAAAAAAGAACCCAGAGTCTTAAAAAGATTAGTTAAAAGATCAACCCATTTTCTTAGTCCTGTTATTTTTCCTCTTGCTTTTTGTTCCACTTGACCTCTATTACCCTTTTCCCGCTTCAATATCTCTTCTCAAAAGTGTATGCTAAACATTCCTGTAGATTAAAAAAAAACCCCAATCCTTCTTGAAGAGATTAATTTGTCATGAGTTATACTCTAACCTATATAACGGTATTGCTTATCACATCTGTGTACTGCCATGAACCCCAGTTGAAATACAAATAAAATACCCTGCAAGGTCAATTTATGCTTACATAAGCTCACACCACCACATAATTAATAGCTTTGCTAACACTAAACAGATCAATAATTCCACTGTAATCTCTGAAATCTTCCAGTATGCAAGCATATACAGAACTCTGAGACTGCAATGTAGTTTAAGAGTACATTTGCTGCACAGGTTTAATAGATCATATAAAATAATGATTATATATTCAAAGACATATTTTATTTCAAAAGAGGAAAAGGTGGAGAGAGTAATTGATGACAGTTTGAAGAAATGGTTGAATCTTTTAATTTCTCTACAGACTGTTATATACTTTTCTAAAGGTTGGAGAATTCCTGTAAGCAGAACCTAATTTTGGATCAGTCTGAGTTAATTATGTCTTCATGGCAGAGTCTTTAAATAGTCTTTGGTTTGAAAATTTTATTACACTTTTTAAATATTCAGCCTTGATTTCATATTCAATCTTTTGGCTTTCATTGTCTTAGACATTTATGATGTTACTACATATATAGACAGTTCAAGGGCTGTCAGTGTAGCATTCCTCTTCAACATGTTCTATTTCAGATATCAAATTTAACTACTCTTTTCTAAAAGTTTGGAATATGTCATAATATGTCTCACTGTACTTTGATGCTATTGAGTTGAATTGACAAGTGCCTGGAGAAACCTGTATCGTTGTCTAGAGCCCCCAGTGAAGTACAATAAATAATTGCTTGCTCATTGTAAAATATTACAGCGGTGGACATAGATAAAAGGTAGTCTCGCTGTTTATAGTTGTACCCTTGAAATTTTGCTGTTATATAGTGGAATTTTTTGTGAGCTCTTCTACTTTCATGACTCTCTTCAGCATGAAAACTCAAAGTCCCCTAAGAATCACAGTTAATTGTGTTGGTCCAATGGTCCAGCTGTAGGCTGGAGTATAGTAGTTCCAGTGGTATACTCTCTTTCCAATGTCCCAAAGTACAAAACTGTGTAAAGTTAGGTGTAAGAGCAAGTGCCTTTTCACATGAGGTATGTATCTGACTAAAATATTTTAAAAATATATGTAGAACAAAATTACTTCAGCCAAGCATTTCTAGTGAAAGAAGATGTTCTGAAAATCATCCCACTTGCTGCAGGAGGATGAATCAAAGCCTCTTGGCACTTTTAGCAATAGTGTTGTGGTTTAAGCCCAGCCAGCAGCCAAGCCCCACATGGACTCTTGCTCACTCCCCCAACCAGTTCAGGGAGACAATCAGAAGGGTAAAAGCAAGAAAACTCATGGGTTGAGATAAATACGGTTTAATAGAGAAAGCAGAAGTCACACACATAAGCAAAGCAAAACAGGGAATTAATTCACTGCTTCCCATGGGCAGGCAGGCAGGTGTTCAGCCATCTCCAGGAGAGCAGGGCCTTGTCACACGTAACAGTTATTTGGGAAGACAGAATATCATTACTCCAAAAGTCCCCCTTGCTTCCTTCTTCTTCCCCCATCTTTGTATCCTGAGCGTGATGTCATATGTATGGAATATCCCTTTGGTCATCTTGGGTCATCTGTCCTGGCTGTATTTCTTCCCAACCTCCCTTGCACCCCCAATTGCCTCACTAGTGTGGCAATATGAAAAGCAGAAAAGGCCTTGGCTCTGTGTAAGTCCTGCTCAGCAATAATAAAAACATCTCTATATTATTGTGTTCAGCACAAGTCCAAAACATAGCCCCATACTAGCCATTGTAAAGAAAGTTAACTTCCTGCCTCTGGACTTCTGATGCTGTGACTGGATCATAAAAACACTTTGTTTGAGAGCAACCTCCCAGTCTCTGGTAAAATCTGGAACTTAAACCTTCTTAATGTAAGCTACAAACCTATTCTGACATGTATCTGAGGTGGATGCTCAGCCTGTATAGCAACATCCCATCTTCCAAGAGCTGCTTCTCAGTGTTTTCTCCTTGTCAGAACAGACAACATAGATCCCTTTCTACTCTTAAAAAAAAAAAAAAAAAAAACCCAAAACAACAGAGTTTGACTTTAATGTAGTACTGTTTGATGCTGTTAAGATTCTGCCCCTTGTTTCTTATCCCACCATCTGTTTAGGAACTTCTTTGTACAGTAGAGTTTAACATTGTACAGTAGAGTTTAACAGTTTCCCTCTCCCCAGGTGGCGTGGTACACAGGTTAAAATGTTGTTGTGGCTTTGCAACACCTTACCTATAGCACTTGTTAAAACAATTGGCTTGTATGATATATATCTTAATCTTATGAATTACATGCTTTTTAGAGGTGTCATCACCTGATGACAGAGACCACATATGACGTTAATACCCTGATGATGATTGCAGTAATAAATTGCTTGAACTGCCCAGTCTCTACCCCTCCCTCATTATTTACTGTCCATTTTAGATTACCACATGTAACAGCTTGTACAAAATCCTGTATGAACAGACTGCTAAATACATTGCCAGTGGGTATTGCTCTCTGCAAGTTACAGGCATTCCCACTGGAGCTCTGCACAGGGATGCTTGGGCACAGTGGGATTCTGTTTCATGATTTGATCTAAATAAGGTTTCTATTGTTACCACCAAAATTTTAGCACATGTGCTCTAAGAATATATGTTATTAATCAACATGTATTCTCTTGTTCTTACTGTGTTTTTGAACTAGCCTGGCTATGTTTTACTTCCTCAGTGGATCCATAATATTAATTTAAACAATTACTTTCGTATTAATTCTGATATCTGTTTTTCTTCCAGGCTGCTTCTGCTTTTATTGAAGCACTCGTTCTTGTGGAATGAGTAATAAAAAGCAAAAACTTGTCATTTTTATTAATGAATGGTATCTATCATCAGTTTGCTTTTTCAGGGTCTGGTAGCCATCACACCAAAACAGCTGTTTGACTAAAGCTGTCAAGAATATTCTGGCATTATTCCTTCTCCTCTGAATGTCCCGTGGTTCACACAGATAATATTTAGGCCTGCTCCATTTAACTTTAAAAAAAAAACTAAAGCAAATAAAAATTATGGGTTATATGATTCCTCATCTCCATGTGAGTGCCAGGGAACAGTAAGAGATGGGTTCTTCCTGAGGGGCAGGGTGTGGGATTCAACACAGTAACCTGAGCAGCAGAGCAGGAACTGGCAGCTGGGCTCATCCCACCCCTGGCCAGGAGTGGGTCAGCCCTAGCTCTGGGCATGGGCACATCCACATCCCTGGGGACAGGGTGGACACAACTGGAGACTGGTCCTGCTGTGATGTTGTTGGGGCAGGGACTGATGGCTCTGGAGTGTTGAAGTAGGGTCCCGAGCCATAGACAGGATAGGGGCAGCCCCAGAGTGCTGGAAAGGGGTAGTGAGGCTTGGTGGTGCCCTCACTGAATTCAGGGGGTGGAGCAGAATACAGTTTGTGGAAATCTAAACCCTACTTGATGTAGTATGAATAAGCCTCTCTCAGGATTAACATTTCCTAGTTACTCTCCTAGTATGGTTATTTCAGGTCTGTGCCTTCCCAGCACTCAGTCATTCCCAGTGTTCCTCACACATCTGGAAACTTTGTCTTTAGGGAGTTTCAGAGCTCAGTATTCAAAATGTGTTTATAGATACCAGTAAGTCATCTGACTATTGAAATGTTACTCTTTTCTTTCTTTCCTTTGGTATTTTATATATGAATCAAACCAACCTTCCCAACCTTTTTTTTAACTTCTTGTTTTGACCATTTTTTCAAGAGAAGTGAGACAGAGTTATCCCAGACCTGTTCATTTTGTTCCGTGTCTTCCAGGAAACATAATGCTTGGGCTCTTCTTCTGTGCTTCATCTCCATCAGAAATAAAATTATTATTATTATTAGAATATTTTTCTGTCTACGTTTTTGATAAAGGGAGATGAAGCAACTTCTCTTCCCTGTGTCTTACCCTATTAAAGTGAGCTTACCTATGATTTTTCCTGTAATGTTTAACTAGTTCCAACAGTTTGGTTTACCTTACTCATTGAAAAAGTATGAAATAAAACTTTTCTGTTCCTCTGACTCTAACTAAATTTATTTTTTTTCTTCCCAATTAACCTTCATTGTTAGGATAGGAATTACTGTCTTTTCCCTGCTATGATATCTTCTTCAAAATTCAAAGTGATTCTGTTATAAATGTGTTGTCTTCTCTAAATTGTCAGTAGTTTTCGTAGTATCTCAACCAGTGAGAAAGTTCTGTCTTAACAATTGATACATAATGTCTGGACATGAATATTTCAGCCTTACAGTCTGAAAATCAGATCCCATGGCAGCAGAGGGAAAGTTGTTGCCTAAAGCAAAATGAATTACAGTGTTTTAGGTCTGATTTCAAAGGTCTGATGGGGCTTTGCACTGCATTTCATTGTTAATAATGAAAGATATTTGCACACATCATATTTTCATAAGTTTGGAGGTAACAGAAATTGTAAGATGAGTGATAGTCTTCACTCACACAAAAAGTTTGAGTGAATCCCTTGCACTCTTACGTATTTAAGGATTTCAGCTGGGTGTTTTGGGGAGCAGCTAGGCTGTTTGTCCCAACCACAAAAGTATCTGTCTTCTTTATGTGGTAGTTGTGATCTAATTTATTTAACATCTTTGATAATGTGCACAGGAAACTGTGCTGAACAGTTGCAGAAATTAATTATTAATTAATTGGCTTGCAACCGTCTAGCTGTTCACCAAGTACTATCTCCAGTACCTTTCATCATCACTTCTTTCATCTCATTGTTTTTTTCTTTCTTCAGCCTTCTAGTTTCTTATAATCACTTGTTCTATGTTGATTGAAATCTCACATTGTTGATTTTGGTAACTGAAGTCTCTCAGTGTTTCTATAATAATCTTAGAAATTAATTATGTGAGGAGATTGACTACAAATTTTTCTTGGTGGGAAAAGGAGACCAAGAGAGAAAAGTAGTGTAAGTTCTTGGTCTGATTGGTTTCTGAACATTTGCTGTGAAAATGGACTTGCTCTGCAAAGCAAGTCAAGGGAAATTACATTATAGAAGGTTCATATAGGCTTTTGTTGCTTAGTTAATTTGAGCTGGTTTTCGTTGATCTAATTCCCCAGTATCGCTTTCCTACTTATTTGCCTGTCTTTGAGCAGGTTTTGTTTGGGTTTTTTGCAGGTCAGAATTAGCTTCCTGCTGTGATGCAGTTCACAATTTTATTGCTTCTCAAAACAACAGCCCACTGGGAAGTAACATGAGTTATGAAGTGGACAGTAAAAAGACCATCCTCATTACAGAGGACATTTTTAAGATGCTGCCTGTGGTAAGAACTGTATCTTTACCTGTTACTGTAACTGCAGTATCGTATATATATTTTTGGCTAGCAATAGAGCTGTTTTGATTCCTCTGGAAAAGACCCATCAGATGCTGTATGCACTTCTTTATTCACCTTGCAAGATTTTTTTTTCAGCCTTCCTCTGCTGTAGTGGAGGTATGGACAGGGTATCATAGATCAGATTAGAGGTAGAGTTGCTACAGAACACAAGCTACAGCCCATCTTGGCAGCCAGCTGAATTCAGGACTGAATATTCTGAAAATGTTTGCCTTGCTTTAATTATTCCCATTTTTAAAGACATTTCGGTCTGGAAGAACATTTCACATTTTTCATATACCCATGCCATTTCTGGTGCTGTCTTGGCATATAATTTATGAAAACCATCTTGATGATAAACACAATATAGAGTAGAGTAGAATAGGATAGAATAGAATAGAATAGAGTAGAATAGAATAGAATAGAATAGAATAGAATAGAATAGAATAGAATAGAATAGAATAGAATAGAATAGAATAGAATAGAATAGAATAGAATAGAATAGAATAATTTGGTTGGAAGGGACCTACAACAATCATCTAGTCCAACTGCCTGACCAATTCAGCACTGACCAACTTAAATCAAGTTATTAAAAACATTTTCCAAATCCCTCTTAAACATTGACAGGCTGGGGGCATCAACGACAAACCTATTCCAGTGTTTGACCATTCTCTTGGTAAAGAAATGTTTCCTAAAATCCAGTCTTAACCTCCCCTGGTGTGGCTATGAACCATTCCCATGTGTCCTATCACTGAATAGCAGGGAGAAGAGATCAGCACCTTCCTTGACATTTCCCCTCCTCAGGAAGCTGTGAAGAGCACTGAGGCCCCTCAGCCTTCCTTTTCTCCAAACTAGACAAATCCAAAGTCCTCAGCTGCTCCTCATAGGAAATTTCTTCCAACCCTTTCACCAGCTTTGTTGCCCACTGGGATGAGGCATTTGCAGCCGAAAAACACAGGTTGAGAGAAGGAATTAGACTTTGTAGCTCAGGACTTGCAAAGACATAAAAGTTCTTGAGACTGGACAAAGAGGTTGTATTTGGTTTCTCCAAATGGAGAGCACATGGGAGCCCTCCTACCCATCTCTGGCCCTCTTGATTTGTGAGATCCCAGCTACCATGTAGTTCTTCCTAATACTGCTGTCAATCATTAAGGACTTCATTGCAATATAGGTTACAGTGCTTCCAAATTTAAACTTAATGAAAGAGAACAGTAGTGTTTTATGTGCACATATATGTGCTAAGCTAGCCAGAGTTGTCTGGCCTTTGTATTCTCCTACTGCCTTTTCAGAATTGAACAAAATATTTGAACGTGTTGTTTTGTAATATATTGTCAGGCAACATGATGTTTGCTGCTTTCCCCACACTTTTTGTCTTGTTCATAACAGTGTCCCGTCCTGCTTCTCTTTAGGCAAGCTGATGAGAGAAGGAGGAAGGATAATGCTTTCCATAAGCAAGTTTTGACTTACAGCTGTGTTTAATTTCTCCAGTCAAAATTACCCAACTGTTGGCATCTCTGCTGAATGTCAGTGCTCCCACCGCAGAAGGGGGTGAACAAGATGTACGAAAAGTTTCTGAGACTGGGATAACAGCCAGCTATATTAATGTCAACTGAAATAGCCAACAATTTACATTCATTTGCCAGGTTGTGACCTGTGCTGGTTCTCAGGTGGATGCACTTAGCTCCCACTCAGCTTCCCCACACAAGACAGCAAGCTGTAATAAGAGGAGCAGAGGTGAACCGCCAGAAACAGTAACCTCGTCAGTGAGGCCTCAAATTCACCATGAGTTAAGCCGAGGCACATCATTATCCTTTTCAACATCTTCAGGTTTCCCTAAATTAATTGTTTTACTTCAAATGTAGTATGTGATGACACAAGTGACAAGCATTTAAAAAGTTCCCTTCTATTAGCTGAGAAAGCCAATGACTATGTGAAAGTCCCCAGTCTGTTACATTGCAGAGGAAAATGGGTAAAATTTAAGCTGTTTTCAGTACAAGCTACTTCCTTAACTTTTCAAGGATTCAATTCACTACTAGATAGTTTTTGTGTTAAGTGTGTTTAAAAGATACCCAGTTTTAATAATCCGGTGTTATTCTCTCAAAGTTCTGATGGCAGAAGTAGCAGTGCTCAGTCTATTGGTGCCTCTTTTTCACTCTTGGCTATCAAGGTCTGCCAACCTTGTCTGTCTAAACGGTGAATGCTTTTATGGGGATTTACCAGATTAAGCCTGCAGGAGCAAATTGACACAAAGAAACAATCAAAAGATTTATAAGGCATTGTCTGTGTCTTTTTATTTGTTTGCAGTCCTCGCCTCTTTCAGTCTATCCCTTCAAGACCTGTGCTGTGGTTGGAAATGGAGGCATTCTGAAGAATTCCAGCTGCGGAGCTGAAATCGATCGTTCTGACTTTGTGTTCAGGTAAGAGCTGCTGCATCTTACTGGAGTGTGTCCAATGTTTCTAAAAACTTGGCAGGCTTGGAATCCTACCAATGCCAGTTTGCAGCAATGAGAAAGGATCTTTACAATTCTTTCTTTCTGCCTCTCTAAGGGTACTACTGTTTTGTAGTTTTCAGAATGCTGCTTCCTAATTAAAGAGGAGTCTAAATGGATTCATGTATCACCTGTAATTGCAAAGACACCTTGCAGTGAAGTGTGATTATCTGAGAACCTGAAATTTCTGGTCATTTAGGATCCCTTAGGAGACTGGTATTAAATGCCATGTTTACCTCTTGTTTAACAAAGGGTTTACTGAGCCTTAGTTTGTCTCACTCATGTAATCATTTAACTGTCCTGATATTTGTCTCACCTTCTGTTAGTTATCTAAAAAATTAGGCATCTATTGAAGTAGGGTTTTTTATCTTACTGTATAGACTGGGAGAAAATCAGGTGTACTCAGAGCATAATTTGGCCCACTCTGTCAGTAGGAGTAACACTTTGTAGTTCCTACAAGGCAACAGAGTAACAGAAGAAAGGTTCCTTTTTGTTTCCTTTTCTTACTTTTGGCTAATATTTGGGCTTTTGAAAACATTTTTTTTAAAAAAAGGTCTTTCCAGTTAGATAACTTTCCTAATAAAAGTGGAAAATCTGCATACTAAAATACTAAACTTACTAAGTGACCAACTTTAAAAAAATGCTAGTTTTACATTTTACAGAAATCACTGTTTCTGCAATTGGGCAAGTTACATTGTTGTTAGAAGACACAGTAGAAGACTTTCAGTAGAAATGCATTGTTTAGGCAAGAGGTATTTCCTAGCAGCTAGTGCAGGGCACTCATAGACTGGCTTCTTCTGGGATTTTAACTGTGCTCCTGGTTTGTGGTACAATTTATGAAAACGAGCTCTCTGTGCCCTATTTTAACCATCTGTACAGTAGATTAAATATTTTTACTAGAAGTGCTGTAAGCCTTATTTAATATTTGTAAAGTGCTTAGACATCCCTGGGAGCTGACGTGAAAGTGTCATTGCACAAGAGAGGAATTTGCAAATAATAACTGTAAAGCATTTCTGGTGCACATCTGTTTAAGCAAATGTTTCTCAATTTCAGGTGTAACCTTCCTCCAACCACAGGAAGCATTAGCAAAGATGTTGGCAATAAAACAAACCTTGTGACTGTTAATCCGAGTATCATAGCTCAGAAGTGAGTACCACTGCAAATCTATTTCTATGCAGTCGTGTATAATTGTTTGACGTGATTTAAATTTTGTTGGAAATTCAGTGGGATAGCATCATGAGAGCAGTGCATGCAGGTTACCTCATTAAGGCTTAGTTCCTGTGTAAAATATGTGCTAGTCTAGATGGAAATCTGTTAAACCTGACCTTTTTTTGTAGCAGAAAGGAGTCAGCAATACACAGATTAGCAAGAGCCTGACACAAGCCAACTATTTATGGCAGAGTAAAATTGATGATTTTAGGCCCAAAGCTCTTCTTTTTCCTCCCATGACCCTCATGACCCCAAACATTTAGAAAGGAATTGTAATCATAAATAGGGAAAGCCTGGAAATGCATATCTGATTCTACCAGTAGGACTGTAAGCACATGTTCTTAGGTAATGTGCTTAGAGGCTGTTTTGATGAAGGCTATTTCCTGAACGGAGGCCCAGTTTCTCTAATTCATTTTCTCAATCCATATGAAAGATGGTCTTTTTTCTGAGCAGAGGTTGTGGTGGTTTATTTTCACCTTCTTGATGAAAAGAAAATCCAATAAGGCCAGATGACTAATCTGACATCTTCAGCAGGCTGGAACTGCAGCTTATCTATGAAAAGGACTGCTGTGGCATGTTATTTACTGCTTACTGATCTTACTGTATCTTATTGTATCTTATTGTCTGTCATAACGGTATTGCCAAAAAGACAACATCAGGCAAAGCTTTTTTTTTCACCTTGAAAGGAAGAAGAAAAAAGTACAGTGAGTAGATAGAAATTACTAAGACACATTTTTCATTGATTCAGGGATAGAATTTCATTTTTTGGATTGAGTACTAACTATGTTAATGCTTACCTGGACCTTTTTGATTTAAATGAAGATGAATTATTTCCCAAAAATAGATTTAGGTCATTGATGTTACTAGGGCTGCACAAGAACATGAGGAAGGAAAAGTGTCCAGTGACTCAGCATCCTTGGTGACTACTGATCTGATCCGTGATTTGTCTGGGCTTGATCAAAGTGTTCTGCCACAGATGAACTCATTTTTTAGCCAAATGAAGGCACGCCAGGGTTAATAGGAGTTACACTGAAGGAAATAGGAGCTAAACCTGTGTAAGGATGAAATGAGATTATAAGAAGACCTTAGGATTTAAAAAAATTATTTTTTAAATATTCAGAGAACACTGTACATGCTTTGGAAGAAGGAGCAGGAAGCAACTTTGTACCGTTTAGCAGAACTAAATTTGTTTTGTCTTTCAGAAGGCCTATTCTGACATTATGCCCTGTAATTTCTAGTTCTTTGTTTACGTACCAGGTTCGTCTGATGTTATTTTTGATAAGATTAATCAGCATTTGAACTGTGTCTGTCAGGGTGTACGATGTAAGCAAACTCTTGGAGAAAAACACAGTTCTAATGTGTCCTAATGGAACTGGGCTACACTTCTTACAGTGGCAGAGCTAGAAAGGAGAACGAGACAAATTTGGGTTGTCCAGGTTTCTAGCTAAGGAAGAGCAGACATCTGAATTCTGACACCTGAATTCTGAGTAGAAACAGAGAAATTCTTGGAGGAGAGGCCAGAAATTCAGCCTTCAGCCACTTTTCCTACACGTAGGCTCAGGGGTTTCTTGCTTGTTTTGGCTGTGTGACTCTTGCATGCACAGAGGCTCAGGGTCAACAGGAGGGCCTGAGTCTCTCTCATTCATTTTGTTTCAGAGTCTGGTGATAATGGCACTTTTCTGGGAAGCAGAAGCTGTAAGTTTAAACCCCTTCGGGCTGAGAAGGGGTGTGTCACTCCTTGCAGAATTCAGTTGTGCAAGAGATAGCTGATAACTCCTCTGTGAGGGTTTTGAATGGAAAAGGCAGTACCTACTGTCCTCTGTCTTGAACTGCTGCTTGAAAAGAGAGTTTGAACCTACTCAAGTTGTGAAGGAAAAAGAAATCAATTTTTCCAGTTTCTGCTGGAGCCGTTTGTGAAAAGTGGACTTTGGTAGCCCTTAAAAAGTGAAAATAGACTGCTCAAATAGACAACTCCCTAGAAAAAGGACTCAGTGCTTTGAATCACAAAGGCAGTTGCAAGTACAAGTTCAGGTGATTCAGAATAGTCAGATCTACAGAGGACATGAGTTGAGTGATGCCCTTCCTTGTATCACTTCTTGGATAACTTGTGAATTTCACTATTCAGTATTTGAGAGGACCACATTTGAATTATCCAGTAGTGAGAGCTGTCTCTTTATTGGTTGTTGGGGATCGAAAGCAGCTGAGAATGAATGCTCTTCATTTGTGAAGTTAGAGCTCTAAGTCTTTCTATATCTCCATATGTTCCCGTGGTAGTCAAAGGAGATAAACAGACATGCCTGTATTTTTATCTATTTTAAGAGTATATCAAATGCAAGTAAAACTGCAAAAGTTGAGCACACTTTAACACTCCAAGACTGCTCACATATGTCCTTGTATTTCCACACAGGGCAGACATGCAGATTCTGAAGAGAGATTATTGTATACCTATTGATGTAAGACATATGCAGTACATATCTTAGTGCATGTAGTTTTAAAATGGAGGAAGTATTAATACAGTATTTTTTTGCATTCTCCTTTGAAATTTCTTGAATCAATCAATTCTGTAAACAGGGTTTCGTCTCATTAGCAGTGATTTTGATCTGTATCAGTAGTTCCTGTGTTGCCAGTCCAGTCCTGTGTAGTGTGTTCTTATTATACAATAGTCAGATTTTCATAACTGCACATATAACAACATATAATAGGGTTGTATAAATTTGCAGTGTAGACAGGCTGAACTGGTGCAGCAGAGTTCATACCTCGTATATGCTAGTGCATTTGTGCTGTTTTGGTCTGTAATATTTATATCAATAGTACATTCCATTCCTAAAATGTTGTGCTTTGCAGATACAACAAGCTAAATGAAAAGAAGAGAGAATTTCTGGAAAACATTGCCGTCTATGGAGATGCTTTTCTTTTATTGCCAGCATTTTCCTTCAGAAGCAACACAGCCACTTCTTTTAAAGTATATCACACTCTGAAAGAGTTCAAAGCAACCCAAAGGGCAATATTTTTTCATCCCACTTATCTGAAAAGCCTTGCCCAGTTCTGGAGAACTAAGGGTGTGAAAGCCTACCGGTTGTCATCTGGTTTTATGATCACTAGTGCTGCTCTTGAGCTATGTGAGAATGTGAAGCTCTATGGCTTCTGGCCTTTCTCAAAATCCACAGAGAAGATGCCAATCAGCCACCACTATTACGACAACCAGCTGCCTAAACCGGGCTTCCATGCAATGCCCAAAGAATACAACCAGATCCTTCAGCTTCATGGTAAAGGCATTTTGAAGTTGCAGTTTGGTAAATGTGAATCAGACTAAAAAGGTAGGTCCCATTCTTACCACATAAAATGTCTTTATTTCAGTAATGAGTCAAGGGTCTGTTCTTCCTTAGAGAGGCATTTCTACCTTACAGTCAATGAAAGTTGTGTTCCTAAATAAGTGGAACTTTGGAGCTTTGTGAATAAATATGTATCACAGAGTTGAGAAATGTTTTTAATTGTGAGCATTAGATGGAAAGTATAGGTAAGTACAGATTGTCCCCATAAATAACAGACAGTACTGTCACCTTATCTCAGATACGTGTCTCTGTCAACCTGTGTTTGCTTTGATATCAGTTCCTAGGAACCAACCCCCTTGGAGAATTGCTTTATTAAAAACATTCACATATTGTGATCTAGAAAAAAAGACAACTAATCCTGGCACAGCCTTTCCAGATGTATACAGAGAGCAGAGTAAGGATTAAGATTGCTCCACAAAGGAGCAGCATGCATGTGGCCTTGTTCCCTCTTGTTAGGTAAAAATCAAAGCAGTGTGCTCTTGCATCCTGCAGAACAGCTTGTGGGCAGCAGTGAGGAGGCTGCTATACACTACAGCAGATCTTGCTGAAGATTTTACCTTGAGGCAGTTCAGAACCTGGGAGTTTGAAATATAGGATGTATTGTTATTCCCTTGCCTCTGTCCTTTCTATCTGCCCCATCCCCCTTGGACCTTCTATGTATTGCCTCAGAGAAATGCAGCACAGTCTGGCCTCTGACCTTGAGCCAGTTTACTGTGTACAGACTACAGATGACTCTGAAAAGATGTTTCAACATGTTTTCAGTCTTGATTTGCCCTGTTGACAAAATAAGACCAATTTGCATAAATACTTCTTCGTCTTTTAAGCTAACTCAGAAATTCCTGAGCTCACGATACTGTCGTCAGATTTGCCTTTCACAGAACTCCATTTTTCCAGGGGTATAATAGAACTGCCATTGTATAGAATATGCTTTAATTTTATTGTTTTAATCTCATGACTGTATTACTCAAGTTAAATAAATTAAAATAGCATCATTTGTTCAAGCCAGAAATTTTAAGTTTAGAAGCTAAGAGCTTTTCTTCTGGCTAGATTCTGAAATGTATTTGAAAATATCCTTTGTTGATATCTAGAAAACATGCTATCAAAGATACATTCACACTTGGTTTATTGTCAGAGAATGCCAAGTTTTAAAATAGCAAATTGCTAGTACCCAGAAGACACGATTTTATTCAGTTTCAGGGTTTTTTTTTTTAAATACAAAACTAAACTGCTCTTGTAGGTTATTAGAATAATATAAAACCTGTGAGAAGGGACATAGTGAATCCGTTCTCCTCTTCCATGGCAGAATATTACCTAGGAGGAGGTGAATTGTGTATGTATGCAGTTTCACATGGCAAAGGTATGCTTTTTTGCTTGTAAAAAGTTGCAGTATATAGAAAAGGTTAAGAAATACATAATGTATTTTTCTTACTCACTAAGCTGTTTATACCCAACAGTTTCCATTGTATTTATTCTTCCTGTAATATAAATCCCTGCAGACATACTATGTAATTTTAATTGTAGTAACTACATCAGCTAAGAAAATGAAAGACAGCTCTTTAGAAATACTTACTCTAGAGAGAAGTAGATAGAAGCCACAAAAACCTTTAAGTATCTGTATCTGTTAATTAAATGCTGTCCTTGCTTGACAGACTGAAAATCACTTATGTGGCTAAATTTGCAAAATAAGCTGTAAAGAAAAAAAAATGCCACAAGAAGAATAAGTTGTGCTGCCCTAATTTACACTTACATTTCCAAAGAGAAACCCAAAGAAATTAAATGTTTTCAGTATGAGCTACCATTCTGTTAGTATTATCAACTATTAGAGGTAATTGAAATTCTATAATTACTATATTTTACTGAAGATAACCTTTTCTAAAAGTTGAACAATCTCCTTTCTCTTTTCAATTTCCCTTTTATATTCTCCCTGCTCTATGTTCTTCCTATTACTGAGTATCTGAAGGTTCCTTACAGCTCTGGGTGGCCATGTGAGGCTCAGGCAGAACTTTTCTCACACAGCACTGGGACACAAAGGTTTGCTGCTGTAAATAGGAAGTGAAGGAAGCTGCTCTGCTGCAGGCACCTATAGGGAGAGTATAACTACATCCCATTTAATTGTTTTTAGCAATATTGCTCCTAAACACCATCCTTGCCATTGAAAAGGTGAACTTTTCTTATGGGATAGGGAGAATTGTCAGATGTGAGAGCCTTGTGGAGTCCCCCAACCTGAGAAATTCCATCTGCCTTAATATCTACTCCTGCACCTTTATGGTCATGTTCAACAGATGAGTACATGCCTTCACTACAGTAGGTGCATACCTATCACAAAGGGTAAAATGTAAAATGCAACATCAGCAAAATCTTGAAATGTAATTAAAATAATGGTCTTTATTATTTTGTATTAGATTACCACATCATTTTTGCTATGGCCCTGCAGCTGAAGGAAGTCCTGTTTGTTCATTGGTTTAACCTGATAAGACTGAAGGGCATGTCATTAGCTTCAAGTAAACATAGGTTCAAGGAGGGGAAATGACCTGATTCATATTTAAAAATAGAAAGAAAAATCTGATTAGAAAAATTGTCAGATGATAAATTAATCAGACTGGCATAAATTTGATTGCCCAGAAGCCTGGTTAAAATGCAGATTTTGTCTGACCAAGAATCCATTGGGTTTTCTGTTTGCCAGAAAAAAAACAGCAGGGAAGATAGGTGTGTGATTTTTCTGACATACAGAACAGTGACATTAAGCAGCTGCTCAGAGGAGTCAGTCAACAAAAAAGACACCAAAAGAAAGAATGAAACTGAGACTCTGAACCTGGGGAAGAAAATGCTCAATTTTCTGAGCAGGAGGAATGAGGTAGGAGAGGCTGAGCAGAAGTGTGCCAGTGACTAGGAAGTAAGAACTGCTGAACCTTCAACTGTGTGTGAGTGTATCTTACCTGGAAAGTAAAAATTAGGTATGGGTTTTTTTAATTCCAACCAGACAATTAAATACCATCTATTTCTGAGAGAGAACACCAGCAACTCCCTCCACTCAAAGTGGAACTAGCAGATCAGCATCCTGTAGAGCAGGGGGCTGCCTGCTTACTTGCTCAGGGATTAAGATCAAAGAGAATTGTTTTGTTCCAAACTCTGTCAGCATGTGATATTTTTTAATCTTGAAATTTGCTGCAATCCAAGTAAGTGATAAATACAGTTATACATAACCTATTTGTAACACTGGAATATCAGCATGACCTTAAATTCTGCTGAAATTCTTTTATGTTTGTGGTGTCTCAGTGTAGCTAGAGAAATATGAACTGCCCCACAGTTCACTTCTAATTACCTTGAGAAAAATGATACCACATTTTAAAATAAGGACTCCTCTAGATTCCTGTCAGGCTGACAGATTTCAGCCTATCCTTGACTTGGGCAAATATTATCCAGCATGAAGTTATTAGATACATGTAATATTGAAAGGAAGGTCTTCTGCAATAGCACCCGTGCAGTACAGCTTTCAAGCACACACTTTGCTCGTGCATTCAGTGAACTAAGTTAAGCATTAAGAATAATGTTGGTAATGAAACGAGTGGAGATAGGTTGCTTCTGTTTCAGTTAAAACCCACCAGAATAGAAAAATATAGATTAAATCAAATTAGAATCTATGTTAGATTTCAATTCAAGTTGAAAAGTATTTACAGATCTGGAAGGGTTTTTTTGGTTCTTCACAGCAGAACTATCCTGTTGAAGACACAGAATCATTTCAATCTTTAGCTATTTCAAAATATGATTAAGATAATATAATTTGGAACATCTCCATATTCAGATTAGCAGTGGATGTGTTCCCGTGAAGATACTTGTTAGACCCAGCCTTGGTTAGCTTAGGAAACCTGAAGAGAGTGGTGCAGGTGGGGTAGGCGTGAGCAGTTCTGGGGTTATTCAAATGAAGGAGTCCTCCTTCAGAAAGAACAGATGCTTGAGCTAGACCAGGCACTAGCAGTCCAGCTTACCCAGGAGAATTTTGTGAGCTGATGATTCTGTATAATAGATCTCACAGACTCACAGTCTGAAATAAGGATGAAAAAGCAGATGCAGAGGGTGCAATGCATACACAGAAGAGTGAGCTATTTGCTTATTTCAAGTATAGCAAACAGTTTTTCTACTATGCGAGGAATATCAATAACATATTTTATTGTTTTAATTCCAGAGGGTGATGATCCTAAGGAAGACAATTTCTATATATCTCAGCAGTTCTGTGTTGGATTTAATCTGATGTGATTTTGTGAGCATTAAACTGCATTATTACAATAGAGAAATATTTTACACTTGGAGAGAAAAGGAAGTGATTTTTTCACATAGTGACTGCTACAAAATTATGAATTTTGAGTAATCATTTTTAAAATACAAAGTAATGATTATTTCGAAAATTCTGAAACTCCTGGCTATTGGTTTAATTGTAGCAAAGCACAATCTCAGGATGGTGGCAATATGTGACATTGATCATGTTTTACTTCTTAAAGGATCATTAAAATATTTTCATATAAGATCTCTGGTTTTGTTGGTGGCTGCATGAGTTGGCAGTGAACATTTTCAATTAAGAACTTGATCCTGTAAATACTGACATTTGTCTACATGTGAAAAGCAATGAGAAGAGCTACAGAGGAGTAATTAATTCAGAACCATGTCATTCTTAGCTTGTCCAAGGCTTCAGAGATGATAAAATCCCTCAGGTTAGAGACAGTCAAGTAGTTTATGGGCTTTCATTTTGTGGGCAATAGGTAATGCTGTGGATTTAATGGGCTTTCCTTTTGTGAGCAATAAATGGTGCTGTGGATTTAATAGGATCACTCATGTGAGTGATGGTAATTTTGGGAACACGTGTTATGAAGGACCAGAACTGTACAGTTATTTATAAACCACTCTTCTTGCTTGTGTTCCTGTCTAAGGTCTAGTTCAGCGTCAAATAAGGACAGTGAACTAGGTTCTACACTACAACCCCAGAGTCCTGGTAGAGTATGATTTTGCACATATTCCTGCTATCCCAACCATGTGGCTTGGCTGATACATGAGATGGAATTTTCATTAGAAAGATGATAGGTACCAAATGTTTAATTTCTTCTATTTCTTTTCACCTAGTATAGCTCTTATCAATAGGTGACTGCAGATAAGGAAACTGTACTAAGCATTATTAGAAGAATGTTCCTCTTACAATCAACCTCAAGCTCTTCTCATACACCAGGGTATATGAGAAAAGTGACTACATTCACTTAATTTATAGCCTATACAGTTCTTGAGCTTTCAGTTTTCCGTGTTGTCCAATGATACATGTGGTGCAACATCCTGCAACAAAAGAAAGTGAATCACATTAATATTTACAGGAGCTGTGACAAGCAGTTGTGCCCTAGCTATGGCTGCTTGTATGTGCTTATGTGCTTAAATGTTCTACCGCAGGGAAAAAAACCCAACAAACAAACAACAAAGCAAACAAAACAAAACAAAAATTGTGATAACCAGATTCTGTTAAGAGTTTCACTGACTTTTTTGAGTGTCCTTTGAATGCTCAGTTCAAAGATAGTGTCCTTCTCCTCCTTTTACAGACAGATACTATCAGGTATTTTATTTACTAAAACTCCTTTTGCTAGTCCAGCATTAAATCTTAAATCAACTGATTTAAAGAGCTTTCAGTATTCCAGTCATTTAGGATTATATGTGCAAAAAAATTCCCACTTAAATGAATTGAACCTTATAAAATAAGGTCCAAAAAACCTTTTAAATTGATACTTCCTAAGAGCATTACTTTGCTGTTGTAATATTTGAAAGTTTACCTTGCAGCAGTTTTATCATCACATAAACACTCCCAGAAGTATTAGAATCAATCATTATGGTTACAAGTCTGTTGGTTGAGACACATTCAGCATCTGGATCCATTTCCAAGATAATGATATCGGAATCCAGTACTACTACTACTCCAGCAGAAGTGTCCATAAATCCTGGTTGCAAATATAGCAGTAAAGTCAATTTTCTAAAATAAGGGATTTTTCAAAATATGTAGTGCTTTGGGGCATTGACTGATGGCACTGATACAATATGAACCTCTGGATGTCAGTAGGGCTTTTAGCAGAAACAAGATAGCAGAGCTGAGTCGATGGGTCCATCTGCGTTACCAGCTGGTGACTGAAAGAGGCGAGCACAATGGTTTGATTCACTCTGATCTGTTCTGGTTCCAGCACCACACATCCACATTTTTTCTTCACCAACAGCAGGATTTTTGTCATTTTCTGACCACAGGCACCTGCTACTTATGTGTAGAGAGCTGGCTGCTGCAAGAACCTGCATCCATGTTATGAGTGTTATGGATGATTGCTTACTGCAACATCCTAGTTATAGATCAAAGACACGTTTGTTCCCCGAAGAGCTCCTCCGATGCCATAAATCACTCACATGGACTGCCCCTGAGTGTTTGTAGCTAGAAGCTGTGCAAAGCGATTTAGTTGTTCTTTGGGTGATGCAAATAGCCCAGCTTGAGGAGAAATATGTCATATTTAATACAGAGAGACAAAGGCTTACCTGTGTTCAGGTAAGGACTGTAACTTATTCCAGTCTAGTGTAGTGCAGTGAGAGGATCTTGGCAGTGTAGCAGCTACATGTTTTGTCTTGGGGAAAATTCGTGCATTTTTCAGAGGTTCTTACATCTTTTGTATCCAGAACAATTTCAAGTTCTCTACGTGTACATAGAGATAATGCAAAGGGCATCATTTATTGCCCAGACTAAATTCAATTAAGTACTTGACATGAGTAAAGGGACAAGACAAAACCTGCTTGTGTGAAGTAGAAGATGGGGAGAGGAGAAAGTGAAATTTATTTGCAGTAGAGACACTTGTTATTTAACACCATATTGCATTATCTCAGTGAATAAATCTAAATAGTATACCATGACACACCATGAAGAGCTGAAGTTACTGTGTGCCTGGACTATTTCTGTGCAGCTATGTTACTTAAAACACACCTGTATTAGTAACTGAAAAGATTATTGTAATACATTTTAAGAGAGGTTTAGCCAAAAAGAAGAAACCTATTCTAGCTTCCTTGATGAGAAGAGATCTTAACTGGAGAAATTTGATGTAGCACTCACAAATAAGAGCAAATGGAAAGCTCTGTAGCATGGACAGACACTTTGACTTTTTAACACTGTTCCCACAAAGTTTAAACTTACCATTGACCTGAAGACCTGATCTTTCATGCTCTCAAAACCCTCAGTGATTTGTGTGGAGCACAGGACTGATAAGAAGTGCATGGAGGAATTGTTAACCCTTCTTACCCTTTTCTACAGAATGCTGTTAACTCCCTGTAGAATAAAAATATGCTGTGTTAGACTTTAGATTAAGAACCTCAGGCCTTGCTCCAGACATTAAGTTATTATGAGATGTTAGTTGCATCCAGTTTTCTCTACAGGAGTGCAAACCTTGTACTGAGCTTTATTATAGCTACTGGTGCTTTGTGCTTGGTGGCTGGGTAGTGTTAATTTGTGCACAGGCTGGAAAGTTAATAGTGGCATTTCTGTGTGACAGGGTACAATTAGATTGATCAAGACTTGCTGAAGTACACTAACTGTGGGAAATGATGTTTTCTTGGGTAGCTGAATAAATTATTTCCCATTTATTTTATATTTGTGCCAGGTTAATGTTCAATAAATGGATCTTGCACCTGGCTGGGAATGTTTATGACGCTTTTGCAAGACTGAGCCAACTACAGTTTTGATTAAGGATTCTTGTCCAAAAGTTAGGAAGGACCTTTCAGTTCCCTCTATTTCACATGAGGAATATTCATTTTTAGGGTTTGTGGGCCTCCAGTGCTGTCACATGCTGTGGAATGAATATTGAGATTAAATGGTTTTCTAAATATAGAGACACTGACAACATGCTAATAGTTCCATTGCACCTCTTCAGAGGCTGACAGTGTCCTTGCACATGACTGCATCACAGCATTATTACATTAAAGCCTGCTCAGCTGCTTTTATTCCTTCTTCTCCCCTTAATCTCTAATGTTGCATTTTCCTTTAGCATCCAGGTCTGCCTTGAGTTGGTTTCTTGTCTTCCCCCATGGAGCGCTATTTAGTCCTGTTTAGTGTCTGTCAGGGAATTTGTATGAGTATGAATCAAATGCTGCTATGCCTACAGCATAATAAAACATACTTTAAGTGACTTGGTTTACACTTCAAAGAAGGCAGCTTGGTGGGATATTCATGTTGCCTAACTGGAGGTGCTAAATTTGGTCTGTAGCTGCATGGTGACTTCAACTGCAATGCCTGGCTAACGCGGTCCAGTCCTCATTCTTGTGCTGCACTCCTTCCTCTGTGCTGTCTCTGGCTCCTGCCTGATCCTACTGTGGCACACTGAGATGGCAAAATCCTAACACGGCAACAGAAAGAGAACATTTTTTCATGCCAACAGAGCCAGGGGAATTCAGACTCAAAGGAAGGGATGAGACCACGCATATGGAATCATAGGAGCACAGCAGAGACCATTTGTTATCTGACAGCTGTTGGGCAGGTCCAGTGGTTCCCTGAGAGCTTGGTCAAGTGCAGAAGGCAACACCTCTGGGGACCTTCCTGGTCAGAAGGGAGAGATGGGCTCTTGCTAGGGGGGAATCACAGCATGACAGCTGTTCTGGTGGGCAGGAGCCCATCTCTCCCTGTAGTGCCAAAAGGTGCTGAAGGTAGCTACACTAAAAACTCTAGCTATCTACACTGCTTGATTATTGCTCCCCCTTCTCTCTTTCCAATTACAGTCATCTTAACAAGCTGTTTGCCACCAAAACATTTAGTAATGATAAGTATAAAAAATTCTCAGTTGAATGATGGGAAACTTATATAAACTTGCTTGTTATTCAGCATGCCTTTGCTGTCAGTCATTTCTAATTCCAGCACCTCAAACAGCATCTGCAGAGAACAGAGCTGCACAAGGTCTAGAGGGTTTGAGACCAGTTACTCTCACTTTGATTCTCTTTCCTTTGTACAGTAGTGAGATGACTGGCCTTAGCACCATGCTTGAGACAAGATGAAATTCTCTGTCCTCTGTGATTCGGGAGAAGAAACTAAATTATCTAGGTGACCTAGAACCCTCTGTGGCTCCCTAAATTAGTAGCAAAATATTCCTGCTGTTATGTATTACTTGATTTTGTTCAGTGCAAGTATCTGGATAAGTTGATTGGTCTGGGTTAATTGATCATGTACACCTTCAGCCTGCACAGACTCCATGATGGAGCTACAGCCTGACATAGCAATCTAGGTTTAAAAACATTTGACCTAGAGATCTTTTTTTGTCCTGTCACCTGCTTACCTGGGACAAGTCTGTGGAGGGAAATCCTGAATATCTGTGCAGTAGCTTCTCCAGGGACCCTCAGTTCCACAAAGCACACATCTGCTTGTGTACAGAAGTTGGTGTGAGATCAAGCCCAAGGAATACTCTGTGGAGTGCTTTATTCTGAAACAGCTCAATCTCAAATAACTGATAGCCACTTGTTGCACGCACTAGAGCAGTAGACTTCTTGCACATGAGCCTTTTAGTTACATGTATCTTAGTCTGAAATATTCAAAGCCAGGCAATCCTTCCTCTTGTGGTACTTCAGCAGCTGCTTTCTTTAATCTCTAGGTCTGCTAGCCAGCAACACTGACAAGGGGATCTCATATGGTATCTACTGTAGAAACCAACTCTCTTTATTTTGAATTCTGTCATTTTAGGCAAGAATATCATCCTTTTCTGAGTTTCAAAGGCTGCTGATCTCTCAGGGTAGCATGGGGAAATCCATTAGGCTTTCCAGCTACAGCATACAACAAATGGTCAGATTTACATTTATTAAGCTTTGTTCAGATTTTCACAAATTGTTTATTAATTGGTTCAAAATTATCATTATGATCAAGTAGAGCATGAAACACTCTGCAGCATGCCACTAAACAAAGGCGCATTTCACAATACCTTCCTATTCTGGGAATGCCAGCTCACCAAGGGAATGACCCCGGGTTACTGGGTTATCGTGCACTGGTCCAGCTGCGGTAGCAGCCTGTCAGTGTGCTCTTGGTGTCAAGCAAATTCCAGCAATACAAGAACTTAACGTGGTGGGAGTACTCAAGGAAACAGCTTGAGTTTCCTACAGACCAGGGAGTAAATGTAGTACTGTGGTGTGTGATAATTGAGCTCACATCACTCTGTGCATGATCAATAACTGCCCTTTGGTGGCAGGTGTTGACAAATTCTAGTTTAAGGATGAGAAGAGTCTGGCTTTGTAATACAAGAAGAAGTGGCGTCCTCCTGTTGCCATCAAAAGAACAATCAAGTCTGTCTCTTGCTAAATCCTGATGTACCTTCAGCAACACATCAGTGTTTGTTGCTGCACCCAGTACTGCTGTGTCTCATCTTTTTTCCTCTCTCTTTTCTCCATTGAGGGAGAAAACTCAATGCATGATGGAAGTATTTAATGATCCCACCATGAGTTCATGGCATCAAGGCAAGAGCCCGTCAGAATGAATCATGCTAATGGTTGTGACAGAATAGCCTATTCTAAGACAGTATTGCTGGTTTTAAATTCCTCACTATTCACTTTAGTCCCTGACAAGGGGAGATTCTTCATGGCAAGTCTGTAGTTCAGCAACCTGCTAAGCTTCTCAGCTATTGGCTTGGCTGTGATGTGTTTCCCTAAAAACACCTTCCCTTGGTGTATTTATTGTCGGTGCTTACAGACAAACCCATTCTTAAATTCTTTTGACACTGAAGTATAACAACTAACATTTCTACATGTTTTATATGCACATTTTATATAGCAGCTTCATATATATTCTTTCTATTGATATTCTTGATATTCTTTTCTTTGAGTGCCTAATTAAAATTTAAATATTCATTATATTTTTTGCCACCAGAGTCAAGTGTGTAGGAAGTTACATAATGTCACCTAAAAAACAGTGATAAAAGCCAAAAAAATTTTAAAGGTATCTGACTGATTTCTGGAGGAGTATTTTCACTAGTCATTTGGACACTTGCTTCTTAGATTTACCTTTCTAAGGTGGGTCTAAGAGGCCACCTCTGCTTCTAATTTATTTCAAGATCTGCAAGTGAGAAGGCAGGTGACTGGAGAGGTCATGCACAGGGCTGCTCCTGAGGGATGGCAAATGCGTGGTTTTTCTTTTCAGAGACTGTTCCATGTGTCAAAATGTAATTCCATGAAGTTGCCATGATAGCTTTTGCCCAGAGATTTCATCGTCTCTTAAAATGTGTATTGTTTGCATTCATTTTAGCTCCATTCTTTTCAATGCAATTATCAAAGCAGAGCTTATTCCCCATGGAGCTGGTACAATTGTGCTCTTCCACATGCTCCAAGCTCTGTATGAAGCTGCTAGTGTAGGCTCTGCTACTGCTGTTCCAAAAAGGTTCCTCAAATTCTCCCAGTGCTGAACTTATTTATGTTTTCAGATGTGAACTTGATATTGTCCAAGTAGAATGTGTGCAGCGTAATATAGAAATGTCTCTGCACAGGGTTTAGGAGGAGGCAGGAGCCCCTCAGCTGTGTGTGTGCTTTTATTACAGAAAACCAAGATGAAGTTGTATTGTTGAATCATCTGTTACAGCTCATTTAATTTGTACTCTGTTTTCATGTTTTAAGTGCCTGATGATTTTTTGTCAAGGAGGCAATGGTTTCACTGTTATAATGCATACTTAGAATTCTGTACTTGTTACGTGTTCTGTAATAGAATATTTTTGCAATTTCTGTTTGGAAATAAAGACTTATTAGGCATAATTGTGGGGGTGTTTTTCTTTTGTGAATTCCTGTGACTAAACAATCAGAAATCAGTCTTCTGAAGCGGCAGCATAGAAAATGCATTAGTCTCATTCTTCTGCAGCAGTATTAGCAACTGACAGTAGGAAGGCAGACAATTCCTTAAAATTGTGCAAGAAAAAAGCAAACTGCTTAAAAGCAGGTATAGGGGAGGGGGTTGGGGCGCTGGTACATGTATAAGTATCTGTTTCTTAAATAATATCTCCATATGGTTTCAGTCTTTTCTGTTCTTGAATGGCAACACAGTTAACCATCTTTTGTTACTTGCAATGACTTGAAATACTTTTCAGAAATTATTTATTGAAGGAAAATCAAATGAAGAAAGGAACCAAACAAGAAAAAACTAAGGTTACCATTTTCCTTTAAAAATAGCTCTTAAATTTGAAAACTATCTCTAAAAATAACTGAACACTTTGAAAACAATGATTAATGAAAAATGCTAAAAACCACTGATGCAAAAGTTTTTCATACAAAATACCATGAATGTATATCTGATAGATGTGTATCTAGTAGATTTCTACACATGTTTTAGTGGCTTATGTGGGTTTTTTTCCTTAATATAGGTTTTGGTCACATACACAGATACTTAGAGCGAACAAATTTCAAACAGATAAAGTTCAGAGAAAAAATTTTCGCTCCAGGCACTTACTTTTTACTTTTGGACAGAAGGCAGCTGTATAACTTCTGTGCTACTTACTGTGACTTCTCCAAATAGAAGCTGACTGCCTCATTAAATCAGGTCAAATATGTTCATGCAGCTGTTTTGTGAGGAGGACTATTATCCTTTAGGGCCCTCTAGGGACTGAGCTGCAGTTGGCAAATTTTATTGCAGACAGAACAGAGGGTTAGAACTGAAAGCTTTTATTTGGCCTCACAAACCATCAAGTGGTTTCTGCCTAACGATTAAGATTGGATCTTTGTGGCCTCCCTCCTTCCTGTAGTGCATGAGTCTTTTGAAGATCATAGAATCATAGAATTATAGAATCAGCTGGGTTGGAAAGGACCTCTGAGATCATCAAATCCAACCCTTGATCCAACACTACTGTGGTTACTAGACCATGGCACTCAGTGCCACATCCAGTCCCATCTTAAAGACCTCCAGGGACGGTGAATCCACCACTTCTCTGGACAGCCCATTCCAATGCCTGATTACCCTCTCTGTAAAGAATTTCTTCCTAATACCCAACCTAAACCTCCCGTAGCAGAGCTTAAGACCATGCCTTCTTGTCTTAGTGATAGTTGTCTGGGAGAAGAGAGCAACTTCATTTCATGTGGTTGTAGAGAGTGATGAGGTCTCCCCTGAGCCTTCTCTTCTCCAGACTAAACAATCCCAGCTCCCTCAACCTCTCCTCATAGCACTTGTGCTGAAGTCCCTTCACCAGCCTGGTTGCTCTTCTCTGGACCTGCTCCAGCACCTCAATATCCTTCCTGAACTGAGGGGCCCAGAACTGAACACAATGCTCCAGGTGTGGCCTCACCCGCACTGAGTACAGAAGGATCACTTCCCTGCTCCTGCTGGCCACACTGTTCTTGATCTAGGCCAGGATGCCATTGGCCTTCTTGGCCACCTGGGCACACTGCTGGCTCATGTTCAGCCTCCTGTCAATCAGCACCCCCAGGTCCCTTTCCACCTGGCTGCTCTCCAGCCACTCTGTGCCCAGCCTGTAGCGCTGCCGGGGTTGTTGTGGCCAAAGTGCAGGACCTGGAACTTGACCCTATTGAACCTCATCCCGTTGGAATCGGCCCAGCTCTCTAATCCGTCCATCTGCAAAGCCCTCCTGCCTTCCAGCTGATCAATGCTCCCCCCCAGCTTAGTGCCATCTGCAAAAGATGATCAAAACCAAAGGGTTTCTTTTGTTTGTTATGCTGACACCTGGAATTGCGTCTATGAGTGATGCAAATGCAAACGTGTGCTCATAGTCAGGGCAGTTTCTAAAGCAGAAGTAGGATTTCTGCTGTGGAAAGTAAGTGTCTGAGATTGAGCTTAGCCATCTCAAATACTTATGAACAGCCAAATGTTGAAAGAGTGGCACTGCCTGGTGATCAGGACTGCTTGGTCCAAGTACAGAATAACTGAGTGCTGCCCTAGACAAAGCATTGCCTTTTCCTCATCTCTTACTTAAAAGGGGAGCAGTCTGGGAAAAGTCAGCTGGGCAAGAGGAGAGTGGGAGGGAAGCTGCTGTTACTGAGGTTGTGCCTGTCAAGCAGTTGTTGTACCTCTGGATCACACCAAGCACAAACTGTTCTCCTAGAGTCAGAGCATCTCCCATTAAGATGGCACTCCTGCTGTGGAAACACATGGCCACTAGTGTTAGAAGGACTTAAGACAGGGATTCTTCCCATGAGCAACGACATTGTCCAAGACCAGGTTAGGTTTTCCTCTTGCCTCAAAACACTGTTAGGCAAAAATTGCCACGTATAGATGTTAAAACATGAGGGCACTGAGTTAGTCCAGGAGAAGAGAATGGTCAAAGTCCACAAGTTGAAAGCCATGCAGTGAACCAGAGAAGCTAGGGTCACAGCCACAGCACAGCCAGCAGCTGGAAAAATACACATATGGGCTGAGGAAGTCATCAAAATTTTAAAAGGTGAGGGAAGATTGCCTCCCTCTCTCGAATTCCAGTGTGAACCATGTTCAGGTAGCTAAATGTGCCTGGGTTTGGAGATACACAGCTAAGTTTTACCTTGCTTCTCCCATCCTGTATCAAGTGTTTGTGTCATTCTCACTCTGCACCAGAGCGAATTAGTAGTGAATAGGAATGTTAAGGTCTCATGGTCTCTGCAAACTGATAGATGGAACCATCTGGTTAATGGAGATACTATAATGAAAGCATTAGTTTTTAAGTATAGCAATACAGATCTTTTATCATGTAAGTGATAAAAGAGAGAGCCCACTGAGGACTTAATTTAAGCTGCTGTCTGTTTTCTACAGCACAGGCGAGCAAAGCTGAATTATTCCAGGAGCTCACATCCTACCATTGTCGTTGGAGGAAGAAATGCTGGATGTGCTGGGAAAAAGACATAAGCATTAGAATGGAATAACTTTCATCTTTGAAATTACTTTTATTAGGTAATTTGAGAGAGTGGTAGGGCAAAAATAATCTAACTGAATTCCAAGTGCAGTTCTGCTTGTGTAACTCCAAACCTGCAGGGACATCTTTTTGTTTAGCTTTTAATCTTCTTTGTAAGGACAAAAATTGCCCTTGTATTACATATGTGGAGTTTTAACTGAGCAAAATCACTCAGAAAAGGTCCCTCAATTCGAACTGCCCCTCTAATACCAATACTTCCCCTTGAACAATATGCATTGTGGAAAACCTACTGTGAGCCCAGGCTGGACCCTGGGAGTGGGCTGCAGCCCCCTGCCTTCTCTGCCCTCTAACAGAGCACATGCACAGCTCTTGCCTGTGGGCTGCTGCTGACTCCCAACCAGCCCTGTGACGTGCCAAGGAGTCCTGCCAGGAGGGCAGCAATGATGGGTCTGAACCACTTGTAGAAGAGGAAGGAGTTGAGGTAGGTGGCCTCAGTAAATGTCCTAAATCTGGATTTTGATATAAAAGAGAAGCAAAAGGACTCCTACCCTAGATGGATTTTAAATTAATTGGTTCTATTTTCAGAAATACAGGATTTTTAAGCTCTCCAGATTTGGATACAGGATCCAAAAAGGACAATGATGTTCTCTGAGGCATTGGAATAGAGGAGTAAAGGACAAGACTGAAGATACTCTGGATATCCTTGTGTGTGATAAATCATGGAGAAATGTTATGAAGGGAGGATGAGGGGGGTGTGATTACTAAGTGGCAGAGGGAGTAATCTAAAATGGGAAATTGCTGTACTCTGATGTTGAATACACGGTTCTCCATCAAATACTGGTATAAAATAACTTCTTTTTAAAAAGCCAGACATGTTGAAGCACTTAATGGGCCAGAGTGAGAGGCAAAGCTAGCAGCTGGGGCACAGGTCTACCAGTGTCCTTGGGAATCTCACCTTGCTCTAAAGCTGAGCAGGATGGCAGAAGGAAATAGCCTGAGATTCATCTCACCAACCACTCTCCATTTCAAGGCAGGGAGATTTGTATGCCCAGCTCCACGGTCCGTAAGTACAGGAGGCTACTTCACTGTCAGGATGACTACTTTTTATATAAATTTCTACATCATAAAAACCTACACTTATTAGATCAGTCCCATCATTCCTGTCCTACACTTTCCCAATCTACATTGAATGTTTCTTTTACAGTGCCTTAATCATAGAGCTCTGGACTCTGTTGGCCCTATTTGTTCTGCTGCAATACAGATAATAATTTCTAGAATGAAATCTCTTTCTCTGAATATATTTAACATCTTTCAGAAGAGTCTAAAATAGAAACTCTAAGAACATTAACTTAGAGCACTTTTCAAGTTCATCTTACTTGCAGTCCATTAAAGTGAAGTGACAACTGAGGTATGACATGAAGTAATTATACTGATTGTGTTGTATATGCTCTGCAGGAGCTGAGTGATTTGCTGAGGATATTAATTTCAAAAGTCAGACAGCAAGAGATCAGATGAGATGAAAGATCACTGCAAAGTGACCTCAGACCAGGGGAAAAGAAAAGGAAGAGAGGGTAGTGTGGTCCAGCTGAGGAGTTCCAGTGCTGTACAGTCTAGCAGTGAACTGAAGCAGATTCTGACATCTGACATTCTGACACCAAAGGTGGTTTCCATGGAACTGAATGCAGGTGTCATCACTACAGTTCAAAGTCACCGCTATGGGTTCCCTTTATGGTCTTGATGAGGAGTATAATTCATCTGGCTTGTTTTAGTTGTCTATGTTGGGATGTGATAAATTATGCCCTGGATTCCCTGGTTTATGAATAGAGTGTAGGGTGACTAGCTGGGCCACCCTGTTCAGTGTGCTGACCCATAGTTCAGTGTTCCACTCTGAGGGACTATGGAGTGGGTGAAATGCGGATACGACCCCAG